GACATGTGCATGTGATTAGCTGTGGCCATTCACAGCTAGGCACTAGTATACAATGGATGGCATCATGAATGAAGCCATCCATTGTATACAACTGTCATGTGACCTGCTGTGATTGGTCACAGCAGGTCACATGGTACCGGCAACGGGAGCTGGTACTCGGATCTGTCATCCACCCGCCGTGTCCGAGGTGCACGGGCGGTGACAGATCGCACTGCTGCGTCGCTCTGCAACCGCGCAAACCGCGCATGTGCGGGAGCACGCCAAATGGCGTGCACCCGGAATACAGGAGCACATTTGAAGCCGCCAAACGGCCATTGGCCGGGCGGCTAATGGTTAAACATCCATGTTTGTTAACTAATTTGGCTAAACAAAATATATATATTTTAAGAAACTTAGACTGTCAGCCCCTTCCTCCTCACTCTTAGTGTCACTTTCTTCTTGTGCAGATCTATTCCACTCCAAACAATCAGAAAAATATTGTTTCTATTCTATTCACTGAACTTCTTGAAACTTAGCACTGAAGGGGTTGATTCTGTATTCAGAGGTTTGTAGAAGTTAGGATGAAGGTCTTTTTCTTAACTCTGTTCATGTTATAACATTTTTGCTGTGAAGAAGAGGCATGTGATCTCCGCTGAGTCAAATTCAGTTTTGAGAACTGCAAAAGTAAACCAATCATCTGTGATAATATCTTGTAGGCAGAGAAACTGCCCAATAATCTTACAGAAACCTCTGGAAGAGCATGACATTGTGAATGGATTCATGGAATTTATTTACCAAAAAAATTAAACATATGCAGCCTTATTCTACATAATTACAAAACTAATCTTTATCTCATGATGGAATAGCCTTTGGATGGTAATATATTTTCCTCCAAAAAGCATTTTATTTTTAAAAAATCCGATTTAAATAAAAAAAATCCGATTTTTATTTATTTTTTTTAATTATTGATTTTTATCTACCCTGGTCTCCAGGACTTCTCCAGAGCCTACCCATCCTCTGGAACTCTCTACCCCAATTTATCAAACTATCGCCTACTCTGCCCACTTTTAGGCGATCTCTGAAAACCTATCTCTTCAGGGAAGCCTATCCTGCCCTCATCTAATAATGGAATCTTCTACTCCTCCTACCAGTCCATCCCCCACAGTTACTACCTTTTTTGTACCACTAGCTCCTCCCTCTTAGATTGTAAGCTCTCAGGATCAGGCCCTCCTAACCCTCTTGTATTGTTGCTGTATTGTCTCCCATTATATTGTAAAGCGCTGAGCAAACTGTTGGCGCCATATAAATCCTGTATAATAATCATTTATTTTTTAAATTATTACTGAAGATTATGTTGTATACAGTGGAAGGTTGTAGAAAAAAAATTCTATCCAAGGTGTCGCACATGGCAAGGATGTCATTTTATTTACTCTCAGGATTCGTCACCACCAGATGTAGTTGGATGCATTTTAAATGCAGAATGAAAACTACAAACTCATATGTGAGAGACATGAATGCATTTCAGTGAGCCTAGTGTCCCCGTCTACAGTGCCCCCGTCTCCCTGTGCGGGTTTCCTCCGGGTGCTCCGGTTTCCTCCCACACTCCAAAGACATGCTGGAAGGTGAACAGGCTCCTGTCTAAATTGTCCCTAGTATGTGTATGTATGAATGTAAGTTAGGGACCTTAGATTGTACACCCCTTGAGGGTTAGGGACTGATATGAATGTACAATATATATGTAAAGAGCTGCGTAAATTGACGGCACTATATAAGGACCTGAAATAATAAAAAAAAAGTCAGTGTAACTTTTTTTTTTTTTTTTTTTTTTTTTTTTTTTTTTTCCAGCAGCTACATCTTTTCAAAGGGTCAGGGACTTTTTTAAATGCAATACGGTGCATTTTTGGTTCAGTGGATGTCAATGGACACGCAGCAGAAATGCATGTAGTGTGTTTTTTGATGCATTTTTTTTTTTTTTTTTTTTTTCACCAAAAGGAAAGTATTGACTTTGATGTGACTTTGGATGTGACTTTTTTTTTTTTTTTTTTTTTGAGTTAAGTATGACAGCTCTGTTCATGTAGTCTGACTTTTCACTCCCTGATGCCACTTAGGATGGTTGTGACTTGAGTGCCAAAGTCCATACTCTCCTATTGGCAACACACACACACACAGACACACACACACACACACACACACACACACACACACACACACACCGCATCAGAAACGTGTCAAAACTGCATGTTCAGAAATGCAAAATACACTGGAAAAAAAATGTATCCTTTGCAACATGCAGAGGTGTGAATCTAGCCTAAAAGTCTGAACGCACAGCAAGGAGCCATATAATTCTAATCCCCACCCCCACCCCATCTCTTCTGATCTGTTTTTGTTTTTTTTTTTTTTTTGTTTTTTTACAGTTCCCCTCCCTACTTTCAGTTCTGTTTTTTTACTGCCTAGTTCTTTTGGTTAATGCTATGTTTTCTGCACACAACTTATTAGAAGCAGAGCCTCCTCTGTGGGGGCCTCCTCTGCAGGGGGGTGTCTCACCCAAGGAACAAATGATCCTTATCCCAGGTTCACACCTAAGCTGTTTCCGCAGCGTTTTGCGTTGACGCTCTACAGTCCATTTAACATTATGTTCTATGGGACACATTCACATCTCCGCGTTTTTTCACCCGTGAGTTTTTTGGAAAGGGTCAGGGAATTTTTTTTTTTTTTTTTTTTTTTAAAGCAAAAAGTTGCGTTTTTTGATTCTATAGACTTCAATAGAAATGCTGCAGAAAAGTGTGTTTTTGCTGTTTTTGACGCGTTTTGCATTTTAATCTGCCTAGCAACAAGAAAAAATGCATGGGTAAAGCCTTAAAAAGCACTGCAGAAACGGATCGAACGCAACCTCCATAGGTGTGAACCGAGCCCAACTCTTTGTTTTTCTTTGTGGAATGTACAGTAGTCACCTTCCAACTAATTATCTTTATTTGTTCTTCAAAAAATGTAATAAAAATGATTGAACAGAGTTGAATGCGGCGTGGAGGGTGTAGTATTTGGGCGCAGGGTCAGGGAAGAGGTGGAAGGATAGACGGGTGTGGGATCTGCGCAGAAGGATGAAGTATGTGTGAGGGCCACACAATGCTGCCAGCTTTAACCCCCTGTTTGCTGTACTGTACAAGGTTGCAGAGTCCTTGCAGAGCGACCTCATTCACTTCCATGGGTCATGCTTGGCAGGTGCTACACCCACCAACCATGACAAAGCGTATACCTCCTGCTGCAACGTGTACATCCCTGGCCACTACAGCTAAAGGGGGTGCGGTTGGGGTAGGGGTGGTAAAAACATGCCTTCACTATGGGTTTTACCACCTTCCCAAAGTGCAAATGTAAATGAATTCTTATTATTCTGAGCTCCCTGTAAGGCTGCTTTCACACTGATGTGCTGTGCTTCACCTGCAGTGTATCTGCGACTTTCCTGGGCTAACTGCGCCTTTGCCATAGGCTTCTGTTATATCCTGCAGGTGTGGTGCACTTTCTGAAAACGCACCAAAGCCTCTGTATTCAGGAGTTTTGGTGCTCTTTTAGAAAGTGCACCAAATCCGCAGGATATAATAGAAGTCTATGGCTCAATACATCTAACCCAGGAAAGCTGCAGGTACACTGCACCTGCGGTGTGGGTAAACCGCAGCAGATCTGTGTGAAAGCAGCCCTATACTATTATGCCCAGTGTATTGCTTCACACAGACCTGAAGGTCTCCTCTCCTGTTGCTGGCAGCACTCTGGAGACCTCTAGCCGAGATAAGAGGTGGAGTGCAGTTGGTATCACTCCATATGGGACAGGAGCCGGAACTACAGAGGAGACATCGTCTTATGTGGCTCCTGCTCCCTTCTACAGATCCAACTTTACAAGTACAGGCATACCTCCGTTTACAAACTTAATTTGTTCTCCGGGACGTTTCGTATTGCGAAAAATTCATAAACCGAAACGCTTTTTTCGTAGGAATGCATTGAAAACCAATTTACTATCGCTGTTCTCTAGCCGGTCTAAAACCGCTTTTGACCTAAAGGGACGCTTTTTGGACGCCATGGACGTTTCTCAGTTTCCAGGCAGAAAGAACAGTAAAAATGCAGGCAGGGCGCTGGACAAAGCACTCGGGACAAAATGTATGTGAAATGGTTTGATACAGGAATGTTTGTTTTACTATGTAATCATTTATTAGAAAATGACAGTTTTTAAAATTTCAAATTTGCCGCCGGTTCCGGCCCCCGTGTATGTCCCGACGCTCGCAGGGAGCGGAACACGGAGGCTGGCATTGGCCGGGGACGCTGCAGGGGACGCATCGCGGGAGTGAAGGACAAGGTAAGCGCTGCAGTGAATCCCTGAGCAACGCCGCATGGTAAGGGGGCAGGGAGGCAGTATATAAACGGTCACCCGCCCCTGCACTGCCACCGTCCGGCTGTTTATATACAACGGCCAGATGGGAAGTGGTTAAAGGCATAAATACTGTACAGGGACATGATTAAAAAAAAAAAATTGTAAATGCATTGAAAACCAATTTAATCTGTTCGTATTGTGACAAAAAATTTGCAAACCAAGCCATTATTTTAAATGGATTCATTCGTAAACTGAAAATGACGTTAACCGAGGCGTTCGTAAACCGAGGTACGCCTGTAGTCCCTCTGCATTGCACTCTGATGCTCTGCGACAGGGGTAGGCAACCTGCGGCTCTCCAGCTGTTGCAGGACTAAAAGTTCCATCATGCCTATACAAGTCGTAGCTGTCAATTTTGCAATGTCTCATGGGAAATGTAGTTCCACAACAGCTAGAGAGCCGCGGGTTGCCTACCCCTGCTGGGATGACGGGTCAGCAAGCCCAGACCTCGCTCTACTGGCAGATTGCCATCTACCGGTTGCTCCCCTTCAGCTCTAGAGGGCCAGATGGGTGGAGGTGCAAGGAGTATCCAAGAGAAGAGGGTCCACCAGTCCATGGATTCAGAATACTGATCTGCCAAATCTCTTGTCCTTGTCTTGTCCCATAGACCTGCCTGGCAGCTCCCGACAACTTCTTGAATGTACATCTGATCCCTCACACACACAATGATGTGGGATGGCTGAAGACCGTAGATCAGTATTATTATGGAGGTAAGTGGACAATCGCACCTTCTCTGGCAGTTACATCAGAGAGTAGAAGATGAGAAACGTTTTGCAGTTGCCGCCTATTTCTGCCATGTACTCTAATCAACTTTCTTAGTTTGGTAATTGAAGAGTTTCCTGTGTAGATTATCACAGATCTGCATCATCTTTCTAGCAGGATGTATTTAATATTTCTTCCTTTAACCACACACAAATATTAACCCTTCAATATCTGAGTCTTTTATTTCCATTGTATTTCTCAAACAGTAAAATTGTGTTACTAACACTTGATGTCTATTAACCACTTCCTGTCCGGACACTTTCACCCCCTTCCTGTCCAGGGCAATTTTCAGCTTTCAGTGCTGTCACATTTTGAATGACAATTGCACGATCATGCAACACTGTACCCGTATGAATTTTTTTACCATTTTTTGAGACAGATAAAACTTTATTTTGGTGGTATTTATTCACCGCTGGGATTTTTATTTTTTTTGCTATGTAAATGAAAATGTCCAAGAATTTGAAAAGTGAAAAGTGTTTTTCTTATACAATTTTGCCAATAAATCTTGGCCGAAATGTATTTCATTATCTTTTTAGTAAAAAAAAAAAAATAAGCCAAATTAGTTTATAACCAAAAATTATAATTTTTAAACTTTTTTTTTTTTTTTTTTTTTTTTTTTTTTACATACTGTCACCCTACCAGTACAGTGTCACTATGGTAACACTGTACTACTTGTGGGTGGTGAAGATTTTTTTTATCTTTTACAGTGATTTGCTTTTACACCCATATAGGATGTAAAAGCAATCATTTCTCTTTCTCTCTGTCTGCATTCTTGCAGCCATTGAGAAATACTGAGTGAGCTGTGATTGGTCACAGCTTGTCACATGGTACAAGGCTGTTGTGAATAGCCTTGTACCATGTGACCTCTGTGATCATTCACAGATTTCACACGTAGTAAGCAATGATGTCACAAGTGACATCTTGCTTATTACTTCGCATGTGATCCCTTATTGGCCTATCGGTGATCACATGATCGGGACCTCATACAGAGGTCCCGTCCGACGATCGGTGTTTCACTGTATCCAGAGCACACAGCGGGCACCGGATCGCAGTGCTGTGCGCTCCCAGGGAGTGCGCACAGCTAGAAATGGCAGGTGCCGTTTATCAACGGCAACCCGCCCCTGGAGTGCCACCATCGTGCCGTTTATAAACATCAAGCGGACGGCAAGTGGTTAAAATGGTTGTCATCCCTTGTATTGCCGTGTGGAAATTACTTCAGATAAATGCTGTATTAGTATTTTAAAGGTGTATGTTAACCACTTGCCATCCTGAGGATTTACCACCCCCAGCCCCCCCCCCCCCCCCCCCCCCCCCATTTCCCCGACCAGGCATCTTTTTGTTATACAGCACTGCACTATTTCAACTGGTAATTTCCCAGTCATGCAATGCTGTACCCAATGATTGTACCCAATCAAAATTTACGTACTTTTTTTTTTCTCAGAACTTTCTTTCGTGGTATTTGATTTGCGCGCTTTACTTTTTGCGCTATAAAAAGACAGAAAATTTTGAAGAAAAACTTTTTTTTTTTTTTTAAACTTTTGGCTATAATGAAAAAAAGCAAAAAAAAAAAAAAAAATATTTTATATATTTTATAATATTTTTTAAAAACTCCAGTATCTTTACCGTCATTTTGTAAATACTATAACTTTCACAAAAACCAATTAATTTTACACGTATTGGGATTTTTCTTTTTTTTTTTTTTTTGCAAAGACATGGCGCAAAATACATTTTGCCCTAAATTTATGACTAAATTTGATTTTTAAATTTTTTGTTTTTTTTTTTTTTTTTTTTTTTTTCCTTATAACACAAAAAAATAACCACAAGGTGATCAAATGCCACCGAAAGAAGCTCAATTTGTGGGGGAAAAAGACGTAAATTTAATTTGGGTACAGCACTGCATGTCCGTACAATTATCAGTTAAATTAACACGTTTAGCCCCTACGCTTACCCTCCTCCCCCAGCAAGTGCAGTGTCAGTAGGTCACTGTCACTTGATACATTGTACACAAAACCGCAGTGTTCACAGAATCAGGCCTGATCTCTGCTTGTGCTTGCCTGTAAATTGATGACTCTCATATGCAACAGTACTAGTGCCACTGTACCTTTTTGGTGAAATGATGAGCCCCCCTAGTACATCCTGGTCTTTCACATACCAGCACTGCAGTATCACTTGGTGACATGGTGAGTCCCATAAGTGCAGTACAAGCTGGTGCGGTGGCGAGCACAAGTATTGTCCCACAACCACAAGAATTTGCACACAGGCTCGTAGAGCCACTAGTATCCTTCCAGACGTGCTTGCAAATCCCGATTGACAGCGCACAAATTCTGCAGCACCTGTACTCCCCCATTCACTGCCCAACCTGGAATTCAGGTGGAAACAGCAAATTTAACACTACTCACCTTGATTTTTTTTTTTTTTTTGTTTTGGAGCTTTTTTTCAGAAAATATCTGTGTGCATTGATTGTAGATCAAAGCAATTTATATGCACAACAATATATCATCGCCAACCCAAATTCAAATCTTGGCAGACCATTTGCATTGGAAACCCATTACCGTTTCCATATTTATATATGATTTTTTTTTTTTTTTTGGGCCTAGCCCTCAACATTGGCATTACTAACGAAATGAATTGAGGTTGTATTGGTCCACAGACCCAATTCATCATATGCCTGTGTTCTCTGCTGCTATGACCAGGCATAGATATGAGCGTATAATGTGTTTTTATGCATTTCAACGACCACACACTCTGTTTTCCTTGGTGTCCCTGAATTTTGACTGGCTCCACAAAATTCATCCCTTTGTAAATTGCCTTAACCAAAAATTGCAGATGTCTAAATTCCCAAGTAAAAAATCTGCGTTGATGAGTCTCTCATTAATGTTTCTGGCCGCCTTGCATTCAAACAATTTCTCCCCAGCAAGCGTGCCAGATATGGGGTCAAGATGTATAAAACCTGTGAGAGGGCAACAGGCTATACTTAGAAGTTTCGGATTTATGAGGAAAAGGGTCACGTGGAGCCCCCCAGATGCCCAGACTACATGGGGAGCAGTGGCAAGATAGTTTGGGACTTGGTATCATCCTTTTTCCATATGGGGTACCACTTATACGTGGAGAATTTTTATTCAAGTGTGCCACTATTTAGACATTTGTTCAATCTTGGAATTGGCGCATGTGGCACCGTGCGACCTAATGTGTGCCCACCATTAGAAGTGCCCACAGGCTGCATAAAAAAAAATGGCATATATACCCAAAAAGGACCAGCGATGTGCTGGTACGTCACTGGACTTTGGTTATACCAGGATGATGCCTACAGCTGCAGGCATCATCCTGGTATGGTTTTTTTTTCAGTTGGTGATCTGCTTTCATGTAAATGCAATCTTAGTGGCTAATTAGCTGCAGGATTGCTTTTACAATCTGCGGGAGACTATGCCCCTTCCCCGCTGCCTTCCACGGCCTTCTCGGGCAGTCCCGTACCATCGAGGGAACCTGAGAATGCAGCTGGTGTTTCTGCCAGCTGACCATAGAACTGATTGGAGACCATAATGGTGCCAATCATCTCTATAGTTTAAGAAATCGGAATCTACGAGCATTTCATCACTTTTTGCAGGATATAAACAGCGCCATTTTGTAAATTGGGAAAGCATATGATCACACCGATCTTGATGAGATTAGATAATGTAAGGGCAGAGTAGATATCTAGAGTCTGATAGACCCCAGATTTTTCAAAAAAAGAATGACTTTTTATAGAAGGCAACTATCAAAATATAATAAATCACATAAATATCCTCCTGCGCTCTTATGGTAAGTAATAAATATAAGCTAGGAAGCAGCCAGCATCTGTCCCATACCAAACAAAGGCAATATGAATAGAATATAAAATTGATGCAGCGCTAAAAGAACAAAGAACTAAAACCTAAATACAGTAGATACCAGATAGTAAATATAGGTATTGACATAACCCAAATCCACCTAGGGATGAGCAGAAAACAGTGGCCCTTAATAGGCTGATACCAGTGGTTAAGTGCAGGATAAAGTGTCCATAGTTCATATATCTAGAGGGGTTCAGGTGAATCACAGCACACTTTAAAAAACGTGACCCCGGGCAGTCTTGCTGCAATGGCCTCTCACCTCCACTCTATGACCCTACAGGGCCACAAAGCGTAATGTAGATCACCACGGAATCCTCCAATTCAGGGACTCTTTTGATACTTGATGTGATGCCAATCTATCAAGAGTCCCTGAATTGGAGGATTCCGTGGTGATCTACATTACGCTTTGTGGCCCTGTAGGGTCATAGAGTGGAGGTGAGAGGCCATTGCAGCAAGACTGCCCGGGGTCACGTTTTTTAAAGTGTGCTGTGATTCACCTGCACCCCTCCTAGATATATGAACTATGGACACTTTATCCTGCACTTAACTACTGGTATCAGCCTATTAAGGGCCACTGTTTTCTGCTCATCCCTAGGTGGATTTGGGTTATGTCAATACCTATATTTACTATCTGGTATCTACTGTATTTAGGTTTTAGTTCTTTGTTCTTTTAGCGCTGCATCAATTTTATATTCTATCAAAATATAATACAATGCATGAAACTCAATTGAGAGTGCAATGAGGTCAGTGTGTTGGTCTATGCATTTTGTGGGAAGGAGGAGACCCTTTGAAATGCGTAGACAACACACTGACCTTATTGTAATCTCAGTTGAGCCATTTATGCATTGTATAATTTTATGTACAACCTTTTTAATCCCAAAGGATAAGGGAAATTAAAACTATTGCTGTAACTGCCTAAAAACTGTTATTGGGAGTTCAGAGGTTAGGCACTTATGTAAAGTCCATCTAAATCTACTAGTCCAATTGACACTACCCTCTCCACAGGGTGACATTGCTGCTGTCCAGGGGTGGCTATACTGCTCCTCCAAAGACACAGTGGAGGAGTGAGTGGAGCCCCCCTAAGACAGGAAGTGTTTCTGCCTGTTTCACCATGTGAAAAAAAAAAAAGTAAAAGCGGTCTAAAAAAACAAAAACAAATGCAGCTACCACATCTAAGAATCAGAATGAGAGCCAGGAGGAGATCACCCCCCAGAAAGAGGGGTCAGGCGTGATTTCCACATTTTTCTACTGTGAAAGGTTTCCTTTACCCGATAAGCTGATTGCTCTGAATTACAGCACATTATTATTCTTTTGTGCCTTTCAGCGAATAACAGCATCCAACATGCTGGCGTGCAATATATATTGGACTCGGTGATCCCTCAGCTGCTTGCGGACCCCAACAAGAGATTCATCTATGTGGAGAGTGCCTTTTTCTGGCGGTGGTGGAGGGAACAGATGGAGCCTGTGCAGAAAGATGTAGCCCGGTTAATACAGGAAGGTGAGCAGCAGGGGGCGCCACACACATACACCACGGTTTTTTGTCTAGTCTTAGTCAAGTAACCTTTAACATTCGGGACATACTTGCTGTATGGTCTTAATCATCTTAATTTATAAATATTTATCACTTTTTTTTCCATTTCCACCAGATATTTAATATATAGATCCACTCCAAAGACATGCTGGTAGGTTATTTGGCTCCTGTCTAAATTGTCCCTAGTATGTGTATGTATGAATGTAAGTTATGGAGTTATAGATTGTACACCCCTTGAGGATTAGGGACTGATGTGAATGTACAATATATATGTAAAGTGCTACGTAAATTGACGGCGCTATATAAGGACCTGAAATAAATACAGAAATAAGGAACAGGGCTGTAAGGGAGGAGAGACTGCTATGTGGAGTGCTCTTGATATAATCCTTTAGTTAGACTTACCGGTGACTGTATTTCTAGGAGCCCTGCAGGACAGCACCTGGAGAGAACACCGCTCCACCCATAACAGAGGAAACACCACAGCTTAAAAGTCCGCCTCTTCCACCATGCCCTCCAGTTATTGCAGAGTAACCTCTGACATGCTGAAAAACGGAAATGCCAACCACAGAATTACGGCCATAATAAAAAAGGGGAAGGTTACAGGCTGCTGTCTAGAAAGGCTCCTTGAAATACCATCAGTGGTAAGTCTAACTAAGGATTTCTCACTTTGCCCTTCAGGACAGCACCTGGAGAAGATAACTGAGTAACTTACCCCTAGGGTGGGACCACTGCTTGCAGGACATTCCTGCCGAAAGACTGGTCTATCGCGGCCAACATGGCTGTTCTGACCGACACCAACAGGTTGCACTGCACCTGCTTCAAGGCCGGCTGGATCCTTTCTATTTTCTCTTCCGGAACGAGTATCCGCTGTTGAACGGAATCTGATATAACCCAGGAACTTTATTCTCTGGGCTGGAATCAGGTTGGATTTTGCCAGATTTAACAGCCATCCCAAGCTTCTCACATGAGCCTGAGTCATCTGAAGATCCAACAGCAGCTGCGTCCTGGTTTCTGCAAACATGAGTAGATCATCTAAGTATGGCACCACCAAAATCCTTGTCAACCTCCATGACCTTGGTGAACACTTTTGGAGAAGATGAGAGGCCGAAGCGTAGTGCTCTGAACTGCAGGTGCCAGATGGACGATCCCAGATTGACCGTCAGTTGCAGGAACTTCTGAGAAGATTGCACAATCTGAATATGAAGATAAGCGTCCCGCAGATCAGTGGTCAACATGAAGCAACCCAGAGATGGCAGCTTCCTTACGAAAAAAAATTGTATCCAAGTGGAAGTGCTTTCATCGAATGGACCTGTTCATTAGCTTTTGATTCAATATTAGATGGACCTTACCTGAAGGCTTTTGGACTAAGAAGATGTGTGAGTAGAACCCCCGGCCTTCTTGTTCCCCTTGCACATGAATGATTTCCTCCTGCAGCATCAGTTCCTTTAAATGGGACGTCATTGCTGAGGCCATCTCCTGACACCTTGGGAGACTGGTCACAAAATCTGGTTGGTGGGGTCTGGGAGAACTCCACGCCACACCCCTGGGACACGATATTTCTGACGAAGGTACTTGATGTTGCTTCTTCCCACAGTGAGAAGGTCCACTTGGACGGCCGCTCTGGGGGTCTGAAGAGTACCTCTCCTTTACCCCTGTTTCTCTGGAAACTTCAACTTCTTTTCTGGGTCTGTTCCTTATTTCTTTGGGTTTGTGAAAGGATGAAAATTCTTTCTGACCGGTTGCTTCCTACTTTTCGACAGGAAAGCCTTTTTCTTATCCACCGATCTATGCAGCACTGACTCCAGATCCAGGCTGAAAAACAGGTCCCCAGAAAAGGGGATTCCGCATAACTTCACCTTAGAAGCTGAGTCTCCAGAACCAGGTCTTGAGCCAGGTGGCTCTCCTAGCCGAATTGACCAATGCCGAAGACCTGACCATCATTCTGATAGATTCAGCCAATGCATACGCCATATACTTCACGGCTTTTAGAAGGACTGGAGGTCCCTGCCTCGACATGATCCCTCAGCTGTTCTAACCAGCACTCCAAATTCCTCGCCACCACTGTGGAGGCCATAGCCGGCTTGAGGTTGGTTGGGGAAGAGCCCCATGCTTTTTTTTTTTTTTTTTTTTTTTTTTTTTTTTTTTTTTTTTTGCAAGTCCGTGCATTTTGAAACCTGCGAGAAGGCTGTGTCCATCCTTGGTTTCTTATTCCGCACCAGAGACTCTCCTTCGAAGGAAAACCTTCTTTGGGATCTGGAGAGAAAAGGGCCCCTTTTTGGATCCTTCCATTCTCTTTACTGAGTCTGATAAAACCTGATGGACCGGGAAGACTGTTACGCTTGTCCCAGGCCTCAGTACATTTTATCATGGACCGACAGCTGGGCATTCTCCAGCGTCATCTATCTATCTCTTTTCAGCAGGTCGTCCACCTCCTCCAATGACAGCTTGAATCTGGAGGAGCTTGCAACCTGCTCCTCACCGTCCTCATCTTCCAAACCTCTGAGGGATGGAAGGACGCTAATATCCTTCTGGCCTGAAAAGTACGTCCGAGGACTGAACGAGGTGTCTGTTGAAAAGGCAGGCGAAGCGTCGGCAGCTTATCCGGCAAAGATCGGACCGATCCCGGGGTCTCTGACAAGTTCTTTTTGACAGCCTCAAACATGTCAGTGCATTGCTGCAAAGATTATTTTTATTTAATCCACCACACATACTTTACATAGCGGTTTCGGCCAAGAATCTCTCATGGGATTCCTACAAGACACACTTCCTTTTAATTGGTGTGACCCCCTTTTTGTCCTGACCATGGCCTTGACCTGAAACATAGAGGAGAAGGGCATCAGACAACTACATCAGGCCCCCATCCGGCCTGATGCTCCGTAGCCCACCTTCCAAACCCGCTGCCAAAGAGGGAGGAAGTAAGAGAGGGGAAGGGGGAGACTTGGGGGGGGGGGGGGGGGGGGGGGGGGGGGGGGGGGGGGGGCGGCGTCCCAGGAGCAGAGTCACCACTGTGTCACAGCAGCAGGCATCCGTACCAGGGAAGGCAACAAACCAAAGGGTTAGGCTGGTGCATGATGCGTCTGCTTCCGCCGTTGCTGCTGACCCTCTGTTTCCTCCATCCCGCAGAGAGCCCAGTCTCCGTGCTGGTGACTCGGAACCTGAAGCACCTTCTGACCTGCTCCCTCCTCTTGCGGTCCAGCAGCTGGAACCAGTGTTGCCACGCCCCCACTGGAAGTCCTGCCCACGGCTAGATCCACCAGGACCTCCGGAAGGTTTCCCATAGCCCGGAACCCCAGGAGACTCGCTCCCTGAGGGAGAAGGATGCGGCAGGACTGTCAGACTGGTCATCGCTCCCCTGAACAAAGGGGAGAAAAGGCGCCGGAACACCCCCTTAAGAGGAGATAAAGGGGGGATATGATCAACATGTATAAATACATCAGTGGCTCATATAGTGAACTCGGTGTAGAGCTATTCATCCTGAGGTCATCAGAGGACAAGGGGGCACTCTTTACGTCTGGAGGAAAAGAAATTAAAGCTCCAAACACGGAAAGGTTTCTTCACAGTGAGAGCTGTGAAAATGTGCAATAGACTCCCTCAAGAGTTGGTTCTGGCCAGCTCAGTGGATTGCTTCAAAAAAGTCCTGGATTCTTTCCTAGACACACAGAATATAACTGGATATAACATTTATAGGTAAAGTTGATCCAGGGAATATACGATTGCCTCTCGGGGGATCAGGAAGGAATATTTTTTCGCAGCGGGAGCAAATTGCAACTATGAAATGGAGGAAGGAGCTGGGCTGGTCCACACAATCAATCTGGGAGGTAACGACCAACGCATTCCCCCACTGGAGAGAGCGCAGTCGTCATTTGTGTGGTCCCACCCTAGGGGAAAGTTACTCGGTTATCTCCTCCAGGTGCTGTCCTGAAGGGAGAAATCCTTAGACTTACCGGTGATGGTATTTCTAGGAGCCTTTCAGGACAGCAGCCTTTAACCTTCCCCTTTTTTATTATGGCCATAATTCTGTGGTTGGCATGGTATCTGTTTTTCAGCATGTCAGAGGTTACTTGGCTATAACTGAGGGCATGGTGGAAGAGGCAGACTTTTTAAGCTGTGGTGTTTACTCTGTTGTGGGTGGAGTTGCGCTCTCTCCAGGTGCTGTCCTGAAGGGCGAGTGGAGAAAAATAAGTGCTCTCCAAAGGCTGAACTATGGGCACAAAAAACGTTCATTTTAAAGATATTCCTCAATGACTGCAGAGGATGTAAATCCAATTTGTGTGCAGAATGCAATGTGTTACAATTCCCACATGTCAATGGGCCCTAAATGCTGGACTCATCATATACACCAGCAGGGTCAGTGCCCATAGTACAGAGCTGCTGAAGGCCATGTGACTTAATGCTGTGGAGCAATCTCCTTCTTGGGATGGGTAGGGAAGTAATTTTAATTCCCATACACCGCCTTGGTGATTTGAGTTCAGTTCTGCATTCTGATATATACATTAGATATCGCCCATAGTAAAGCGGCAGAATACTTCCTTAAATTATTAAAATAGAAAAATGAAAGGAAGACTCCAGCCAGAGCAATCCCACCTTTCGTGGTCCTCAGACACTGCTTTCCTTTCTCAGGTCGCTTGGAGTTTATAAACGGTGGCTGGTCTATGAACGACGAAGCTGCCACACACTACAATGCCATCATTGACCAGATGACTCTAGGCTTGCAGTTCTTGCAGAATACATTTGGAGAATGCAGTAGACCGCGGGTCGCTTGGCACATCGATCCTTTTGGACACTCCAGGGAACAGGCTTCACTATTTGCACAGGTACGTGAGAACTAACCTAATGTAGTCACTCTTTCCACCTTATGTTGGGTTTATTAAGCCTTATGATAGTCAAAGCCATGCAAAACTGATAATTCTCCTATCGGGTTAAATCCAAGTTCTGGTTTAATAGTTGGAAAATTCAATTGGAACTTATTCCCATCCGATTTCTTCGTTCTGTCCATCTGTTGCATCCGATACAAAGCCAGTTGGTGACTTTCATCTGTCTATATTCCACACTACTGAAAGTTGTCCCCCACCCCCCCCCCCAGAAAACCCCCCCCCCCCCCCACCCCCCCCCCCCCCCCCCCCCCCCCCCCCCCCAACAACCATTTTAGCAATTTGTTTTACACTAAAGGTAATTAAAAATAATAAATTGTTGCATTAATATTGTGGGGTGGATTTACTAAAGAGAAATAGATGGGCACTTTGCAAATGCAGTTGCATTCATTTTTCCCAGCTTGGTGAACTAATTATTATTATTATTATTATTATTATTATACAGGATTTATATGGCGCCAACAGTTTGCTCAGCGCTTTACAATATAAAGGGAGACGATACAGTTCAGTACAAGCTGGTTAGGAGGGCCCTGATCCTGGGAACTTACAATCTAGGAGGGAGGGGCTAGTGGTGCAAAAAGTATTAACTGTGGGGGATGGACTGGTTGGAAGAGTAGAAGATTCCATTATTAGCTGAGGGCAGAATAGGCTTCCCTGAAGAGATAGGTTTTCAGAGATCGCCTAAAAGTGAGCAGAGTAGGCGATAGTCTGATAAATTGGGGTAGAGATTTCCAGAGGATAGGGGAGGCTCTGGAGATGACATGGCAGGAGGAGGACACAAGGGAGCTAGAATGTATGAGGTCGTGTGGAGAGTACGGTTTTGATATTTGGAGACAAGATTGGTGATGTAATTTGGGGTAGAGTTATAAATGGTTTTATATGTTAATATTTTGAACGTTATTAGTTGGGCAATGGGAGGACAGTGGAGGGATTGGCAGAGAGGGGGTGGCGGATACGGAGCGGTTAGTAAGGTGGATGAGTCTGGCAGCAGCATTCAAGATAGACTTCAGCGGGGATAGCCTGCGATGAGGTAGGCCAGTGAGGAGGGAGTTACAATAGTCAAGGCGAGAGATAACCAGGGAGTGAATAAGTTGCTTAGTGGTTTCCGAGAACAGGCGTATCTTGGAGATGTTGCAGAGGAACATTATCATCATCCAATCATATGCAAGCACAAATGCTTGCGTGTGTTTTGTTTTTGTTTTTTTTTTTTTTACCTTGCACCTGATTGGGTCTTCTTTACAAAGTTAAGCTTCCCCCACTAAGGAAAATGAGTATAACTACACCTGCAGAGTCCAGTCTTCTTGCCTTTTTAGTAAATTTACTCCTGTGACATAAATTGAGACTGCAGCTCTTTTATTCTTTCAACTAATCTTCAGGCCTAAAATGTGCATTTGAACATGTGTGCAAAAAACAGAGGCAGCTCTGGTAGGGAAAGGGTTAAGGCTGATGTCCTAAGTGTATTCTCCAATGGGGGCAGACCAGCAAAAGCTGAATTGTGATTGGTTGCTCTGATTTTATATATATTTGTGCATTTTTTTTCTCGCTTGCAAAACAAATGTGCATCTCCTTCTTTTTTTTTTTTTTTTTTTTTTTTTTTTTTTTTTTTTTTGGACTTTTTAACCATAGATGGGCTTTGATGGCTTCTTCTTTGGCCGTCTGGATTATCAGGATAAGACCAATCGAGAGAAGACACGACGAATGGAGATGATTTGGCGAGCAAGCGATGATTTAGAAGCACCCAGTGCCGATCTCTTTACCGGTGAGTGAGCAGATATCAGAAATATTATTCTGATGATCAAACTTTATTTTTAAGCCCCTACATACTGTACTCCTCAGCTCTAGGAGCATGCCTAGGCCAACTGCCTAACTTCACCAATTGCATGCTTGCTTCAAGTCAGTGACTTGCAAGGTGCTGATGTCAGGATCAGGGTAACAGTCTAAAACCCTCCTGCACCTCAGGTCATCAGGGTCAGCCCCCATATTTTGATCCTCCTAGGACCCATTAATAAAAGAAATATGTGGATTGCCACTGTTGACATCCTTGTGAAAAGCCTGCTGCCCTTCATATTAATCTTTTGGCTTCAAAAGGTATTACTGGCCTGGAACAAGCATGAAGGATGGCCATTGCGCAGAATAGTCCAGGTGGTTGTAAACCCTTCCATGTACCTAGGGGTGTATTTACCCACAAGGCATTTACCTAGGGTGGCATTTTTCGGGGGGCAGCATCTCCCCCTGGAAGAAGGGACACACGCAGTATGGCAGGGGTGTCCAAACTTTTTTCAAAGAGGGCCAGATTGGATGAAGTGAACATGGTGGAGGGCCGAACATTTTTCCAAACATTCTTTGAACCATTACAATTAAATGCAAATAAATTATTTTATGCCAAGTTACCGTATTTTTCGCCGTATAAGACGCACCTGACCATAAGACGCACCTAGGTTTTAGAGGCAGAAAACAGGAAAAAAATTCTGAACTAATGGACTGCAGACACAGCACAGGAGATGACCAGAGACTGCGGACAGCACAGGAGATGACCAGAGACTGCGGACAGCACAGGAGATGACCAGAGACTGCGGACAGCACAGGAGATGACCAGAGACTGCGGACAGCACAGGAGATGACCAGAGACTGCGGACAGCACAGGAGATGACCAGAGACTGCGGACAGCACAGGAGATGACCAGAGACTGCGGACAGCACAGGAGATGACCAGAGACTGACACGGCCGCGGTGGAAATACCGGACCGGCCGCTCCATATTCGCTCCATAAGACACACTGACATGGAGGGCCGTATTAAACCGACCCTCGGGCCGTAAATGGGCCCGCGGGCCGGACTTTGGACATGCCTGCAGTATGGGGACCTGGTGGGTTCCGAGAGGGGCTGCTTGATGGTGTATGCAGAGCCTGTTCCCAGGGATGTCCGGAGTTGTGAAGGTGAATGTCTTCTCCCTCTCGCCGTGGGGGGTGGCCAATTTATGGGAAGCAGTGGTAGAGGAAGGCTCTCGAGTGGGGGTGAGGTGTTGGTCAATGCCAGCTCTGTTTGTGGGGGATGGGGGTGTTGGTGTCAGGGTCCCTCTGTGCGTGAGGGGGGGGGTGGGGGGGGAGACCATTTTCGTGTTGCCTAGGGCAGCACAAAACCTAAATACACCACTGTATGTACCCAGTCAAGTGACTGGCCTTAGGTGATACAGTGGTAAAACAAATCCTTCTGCATAAAGTTTACCTGTTTTTTTTTTTATCTGCAGCCTTCTCTCCTTTTATATCTGTTCAGAGCACAGAATTTACACAGCATTTCTCAGCTCCGGAAGGCAGGGGGCAGGGATCTGACACCCCACACTGCACAACATGGAGCAGGGAGCTGAGTGTAATCTGAAACCTGAGTGGAGGTAGAGGACATACCCCACTTTACATAGACACAGGGAAACATGCACAGCTGAGCATGTCAATCACCTGTGTTCTGGGTGCGGGGGGGAGGGGGGCTTATGGAGCTGTCTCCCAGAATTGTCGGTTATTGGCATAAAATGTTAGGACTCATGCAGATATCAAAGGAATGAGAGCGGAAACGGAAATCACACGAAGTGCTTTGGATAGAACTTATAGAAGAATATGCTTCATTCATTTTTCATTTCAGAGGTTTACAACCACGTTTTAAGATTTATAAGGACTCTCATATGTAGACTGTCAGGATTACCATCCTCATGAACAACCAGCTGCCTGCCTTATTGATCCTGCGGCTTCAATACTTTCTTCTTGCCCTTCGGCAAACACCATTAAGTCGGCTCTTGGTTTTTATACTTAAGGAGTAGGCAAGCTCATCACGCCAGCTGTGGCGAAACTAAAATCCCATCATATAAAAAGTGAAAGGGTGCTGCGCTACTTGGTGCATGAACAATAAACCATAAAAACCTAAATTGAATATGTATTTAATACACATAAGCCCCTCATCCAAGTGTAAACATAACATATCCATAAATCATGTGAACCGGTGCAAACAATGACAATGACCGCAACACAAAATGCTATAATGTGCTGGTGACAGAAGTGAACATAATAATAATAATGATGTGTATAGTGTGGTGAATGAAAGTGACTCCGTCTCAAAAGATATGACCGTCCCAAAACACAGGAAAAAAAACAGTAGATCTTCAAAAATATGCTTCAAAAATATATGAAAATAGCCTCCACCAGCTAGCATGCGCGCTCACCTTCAAAATGCGACCCACAAGGAGTCACAGGGCATAAAGAACCTCAAAAGATGATTGGTCCTCCTATAGCAATCAAAAAGCAAAAGGCCATCTCCAATGGCGCTGACCAACACAGGCATGCTCCAGAAATGGCTGCAGACTGCTACCATCCTAAGTGCCTCTCATAGAAGATGCAGGCAAGAAGACTCCCATAGTGTAATACGTCACAAACTTTATTGTAAACCACATCCAGAAATAGCTACTTACATTTAAAATGGGTCCGCAGACCAAAAAAGGCAAAAACTGCAGGGAAGGTGTATGGGATCGGGAGGACCAAGATGGCAACTGCTGTCTGTACCGGATATGACATCACCACTCTTCTGTACTACGCGTTACGTCACGGGTCACATGACTTCCTCGGGGCTCGCAAGTAGCGCAGCACCCTTTCACTTTTTAATTTTGATTTTGCTATTTTGGAATATAGTTAGGTGTTTTTGCCCACTTTTTTGGGGGTCATTGCAGTTAGGGAGGTAGCGCGCAGGAGGACCACCTCTCTACTAATAAATTCCATCATGCGTTTAGCCCTCATGCCCGTGGCTGGCAGTCTTGCAGTGCCTTATGGGACTTGTAGTTCCACAACATCTGGAGTGCCTAGGTTTGCCTACACCTGATATACTTGTTTATATTCCATGACCTAGAACATGAAGTCTGAAGCCATGGAATCAGCATAACGGCCTCCAGCTGGTGTTTCCATAAGATCTGCAGTGTGTTGTCTATATCAAGCTTGTTAGGAATCATCACGTTGAACTCCCAATAACCCATTGTACGTATCTCTGCTTAAAACTGGATGTGGTGTTTTTTGTGTTTTTTCCGGTCCTTGCAGGGGTGCTTCCAAATGGTTACAACCCCCCAGACGGCTTCTGCTGGGATCAGCTGTGCACTGACATGCCAATCATGGACGACCCAAACATGGAAGATTATAACGTAGATGTCGTGTTAGCCAAATTTCTTGCGGCTGTACATGCTCAGGTATCGTAGGAAGGCTGTGTATAGGAATCCTGCTGTGTACACATACCATGGTGTAGTATTGTCGGGGGGGGTGTATGCTCCTTGGAAATGTCATGGTGCTGAAGATGCTTGCCTGTTCTTTATCTCCTGTCAGGCGGCAAAGTACCAATCAAATCACATTGTTATGACGATGGGCTCTGATTTTCAATATGAGAATGCCATCCCGTGGTTTAAGAACATGGACAAACTCATGAGGCTGGTCAATGCTCGGGTAAGTCACGGCGATCACATAACTGCTGCTCTACTGCTGCATAGATTGAAAGGGTTACAGTTTTCCATTAGGGTCCATTCACGTTGTGTGTTTAGGCAAACGCGCCAGCTCAACACTTTATTGTGCATTTATTCATTTTATTATGTATTACTTCATTATTTTGTGTGTGTGTGTGTAATATACATTACCCCAAAAAATGTTTCCTTCACATTGGCACTCCTGTGTTTTTAGCTTTTATAAATGCAGGAGATGCTAATAGGGAAGTATTTACAACTTTTAAAGTAAAATTTTCCCCATGTTGGTGAGAGCAAGGGAGGGTTATAACCCCTGTCAGGTGTGAGGGTTTTTTTTTTTTTTTTTTTTTTTTTTTTCGCCACCTGTGTTGCTTCAAGTCCCCATAGCTGAACAGGAAGTGAGAGGAAATCCCTTGCAAATTAGGGGAATTCTGTGGGGATCCCCAGTTCACCAGAGCTAGTGTCCCCATTGGAAGACTTTCCCTCTTACTTTTTTGCGGACAACTCGAAAGTTGTGATTTTTCTTTTACTTTCAATAATAATGGTAAACAGGACAAATGGAGAAAGTGAATCTCCTGATCGGGAGGGAGGGGGCACAGAGCAATAGAAACTGACAGGTTCTAATCCATCTCCACTCTATTCAAAATGTTTAAAAAAAAAAAAAAAAAAAAAAAAAACAACTTTTCCTTTTTAGTACTAGTAAAGTAGCAAGCCACCAGATATGATTATTGCACCACATCCCTTTTTAAAATTGCAAATCTTCAATAGAGACGATGGGACTTTCAGGGTGCATGAATACCAAACCTATTAAAGGTATATAAATTTTTTTTTTTTTTTTTTTTTTAAAACAAAAAAAGGAAAAAATATAGAAACCATTTCAGTACTAAGAGTGGAACTGAGATTCAAACTTGATTATATAATTGTAGTTGCTCCCTACATGTTTCGCCCTCACGGGCTTCTTCAGGGGAGATTTTTGAAGAGATTTCAACCGGGGTAGGCAACCTGTGGCTCTCTAGCTATTGTGGAACTACATTTCCCATGAGGCATTGCAAAGATTACAAAACTGACAGTTACAGCTATGACTTGCAGAGGCATGATGGAACTTGTAGTCCTGAGGCTCTCGGGTTGCCTAGCCCTGGCCTAGACATCTGACACAGATGTCTTTGCAAATCACACCAAAAGCAGTGCATATACTACTTTGGAAATCAGTGCGGCTCCGACCAAGTCGGAAACCACACCGATATGACCGCTGTAATTGCGGACAATAGGGTGCGACTTGGCATACGATTTGCAGGTCGCATGGCATGCAAATCGCATGCCAAGTTGCACCCGATGTGACTGGTGTGTTACTACTTATCTGCATTAGTCTGATACCGCTAGTAGTTGACAGTTCCATAACTGGGGGGGTGGCCTTGGAACTGGAGTGACGAGGCCTAACCTCCACTTAGAGTGAAGCTGAGGCCCCATGTGAGGCCGGGATCTAGAATCCAAAGGGTCTGCAATAGAACACAGACAGGGATGCATTTGAAGATGCACTGGGGTTGATTTACTAAAGGCAAATAGACTGTGCACTTTGCAAAGTGCAGTTGCTTTAGAGCTTAGTAAATGAGGTGAAGCTTCACTTTACATAGCATAACCAATCACATGCAAGAAAAAAAAAAAACGGCATGGTTGCTTGCACATGATTGGATGATGGAAGTCGGCAGAGCATCTGCTCATTTACTAAGCTCTGGAGCAACTGCGTTTGCAGAGTGGGACTGCACTTTGCAAACTGCACAGTCTATTTGCCTTTAGTAAATCAACCCCTTGGTACCTTCACATCAGCAAGGTTAAAATGGGCCAGGTCATGGTCTCTGCAGGAGCAAATTGAATCGTGTTTTGCTGGGGTAGTTTTTTTTTTTTTTTTTTTCTATGCTTGAACTGGATGGGCTTTTGTTTTTTTGTTTTTTTTTAGCCAGACTAACTATGTAACTAGCATGGTCACTTTTTAGTAACCATAAAATGATAGATTACTTAAAACAGCATTCTGTTACATGAAGATGCATAATTTTTCTATTTTTTTTTTCTCCAGCAAGCAAATGGAAGTAATGTGAATGTGTTGTACTCCACCCCAAGCTGTTACCTGAATGCACTGAATAGGGCCAACCTCAGCTGGTGAGCATAGAACATGCAGCGTGCTTGTGTGTGTCTCTGCGCATACCTGTCATTGCTTTGTAATTGCACCTGTCTTGTGTTCCAGGCCAATGAAGATGGACGACTTCTTCCCATACGCGGACGGAGCTCACATGTTCTGGACGGGATACTTCACCAGCCGCCCAGGCTTCAAGGGCTATGAACGGCTCAGTAACAACTTCCTGCAGGTGAGCAGACAGCAGGGCAATGAAAGTGTAAATGAGGTACTGTCCTTATTGCTCAGAGGACCAATCGTAGTCTTCCTTTTATTTCTCTAATTCACTAAAGTTGAACAAGATTGTTTTGGGCAACAAAGGCAACACTTCTTTCAGGCATTATTGTAATGGTAAATAGATACTATATCCTTTTCATGGAACCAATGTTCATTATGTCATTTCCAGGTCTGTAATCAGCTGGAGGCTTTGACTGGAGCAGCTGCAATACATGGACCATATGGGACCAGCAGCAGCTTAGAGCTCAGTAAGTAATCTTCTCATGCCAGCATCCTGATACAGTAACCCAATTCTCAAATGTTCTATTCCCCCTGTAATATCTCCTAACATCCCAGCTCCCGAGTGTCTTATTCCCCTGTAATATCTTATTACAGTAACCCGGCTCCCGAGTGTCTTATTCCCCTGTAATATCTTATTACAGTAACCCGGCTCCCGAGTGTCTTATTCCCCCTGTAATATCTTATTACGGTAAACCGGCTCCCGAGTGTCTTATTCCCCTGTAATATCTTATTACGGTAACCCGGCTCCCGAGTGTCTTATTCCCCTGTAATATCTTATTACGGTAACCCGGCTCCCGAGTGTCTTATTCCCCTGTAATATCTTATTACGGTAACCCGGCTCCCGAGTGTCTTATTACCCTGTAATATCTTATTACGGTAACCCGGCTCCCGAGTGTCTTATTACCCTGTAATATCTTATTACGGTAACCCGGCTCCCGAGTGTCTTATTACCCTGTAATATCTTATTACGGTAACCCGGCTCCCGAGTGTCTTATTACCCTGTAATATCTTATTACGGTAACCCGGCTCCCGAGTGTCTTATTACCCTGTAATATCTTATTACGGTAACCCGGCTCCCGAGTGTCTTATTACCCTGTAATATCTTATTACGGTAACCCGGCTCCCGAGTGTCTTATTCCCCCTGTAATATCTTATTACGGTAACCCGGCTCCCGAGTGTCTTATTACCCTGTAATATCTTATTACGGTAACCCGGCTCCCGAGTGTCTTATTCCCCTGTAATATCTTATTACGGTAACCCGGCTCCTGAGTGTCTTATTCCCCCTGTAATATCTTATTACGGTAACCCAGCTCCCGAGTGTCTTATTACCCTGTAATATCTTATTACGGTAACCCGGCTCCCGAGTGTCTTATTCCCCCTGTAATATCTTATTACGGTAACCCGGCTCCCGAGTGTCTTATTACCCCTGTAATATCTTATTACGGTAACCCGGCTCCTGCATGTCATCATATTACTTCTGATTTTTACCTATTTTAGGGCGAGCCATGGGAGTAGCTCAGCATCATGATGCTGTAACAGGGACGGCAAAGCAGCATGTGAATGATGACTACACTTTGCGCCTCTTTAAGGGTTGGAAAGCCTGTCAGGTAACCCTGCAAAACTTTGCACTAGATTACTTGGCATTTAATATTGTAATTGATCTAAAGGAGGATATAGTTCATTAGTTAACCTAATGCCAAGGCTATTCCGTTGTGACACATTTTAGTATTGTACTGATATTTGTAAGGTTGCAGGCTTAGAATGCGCTTTTGTATTCATTGGCACTTCACATTCATGAAAACACAGCCTATCCATTCACTAGAGACCAGTGGTATCACTGAGAGACGTGAGAATAAGAACCCAAACACTCTGAACACGATCCAAGACCTTTTTTCTCCATTCTCTCCTACAGGTTGTGGTCAGTAATGCTCTCTCCAGTCTGATGGGGACTAAAGAAAACTTTGTGTTTTGCAATCTATTGAACATCAGTGTGTGTCTTTCAACAGAGATGTCTAAATCTGTAAGTAAATCTATATCTGTTTTAGGTTTTGGCTAGAATTGGGTACAGATAACACCTCCAAAGGTTTATTATGGTTTTCTGTGTTCCCACTAGGTAGTCGCCCTGCCACAGTCCTAGTGACTGTTGTCATGGGTCAGAATGGTATGGGAAATCCAGAATTTTCATGTATCACAAGAGGCGAGGGAGGTGGGAATGGATGCTCTTGTGGCGGCTAACAGAGGATTTTCCCTCGCCTCTGTTGTGTTTCCTGGACAGGAAGTGCAGGAAAGTCTCCCCATCAGGGCACAGATAGACAAAAAAAAATACTTGATTCAGGTTTTTACCATTCCCTTCTCTATCCAAAGCTTTATTTATAATAAATATATAAAGCAGTTTTGGCTAGAGTTGCACTTTGTCTGTAATGATTATACCAGCTTGACTGTCCTTCCAGTGCAGCATACTATAAATAACAAGATGGCATTGTCATCATGTTTTAACTTGCATTTCATGTGTGTAGTTTATATTTTATTTTTATTTATATATATATATATATATATATATATATATATATATATATATATATATATATATATATATATATATATATATATATATATATATATATATATTAATATTAATATAATATAATTTTTTTTTTCTTTCTTTTAATGGGGATTTAAGCTGGCCATTGGTGGTTCAGCAGGGACCAGCTGAGATTCGATTCCTCTGTGTGCAGGCCGATTGTCCCAAAGTTGATCCATCGATTTGATTTTGGTACAAGCAGCTTGTTGGATTTTGTTTGAAATTATTGCCAGCGGCTATAGCTGCTAGCATTACAAACTGTGTTCTCCTGGCAGGGGGGCGGCTCCTCACAGGGAGAACACAATAGCTCCACGGGAGGGATTCCCCCATCAACACTGATTGAGAAAGTGAGCAATTTTCTCACCTGCAACCTGTAGTTGAATGAAAGGCAGGCCATAGATGTGATTTCCTTTCCTAGCCTTTCCTGCAAGTTTGTAATATTGTGTGAAATAATAAATAATTTTTTAGTATTGTGGCTCTTTATCTCATTCCATTCTCTGACATCTCTTCCTGTCCCTCATACAGTTCAGCGTGGTGATCTACAATCCCCTGGGGACGTGCAGTCACACAGTATGTTCGTCTTCCTGTGAATGGCGCACTTTATGTGGTTAAAGGTCCTTCTGGTGAATCCATTCCGAGTGAGGTGAGACGAGCTTGTTACTAGTAAAGCTGGTCTCTGGGCAGAATTGAAAAAAAAAAAAAAAGAAAAATAATCAGATGCTCCATTCTTCTCCAGTGCATCAGGAAATGTGGCTTGCTAACCACCCTTGTGGCAGCATTTCTTGTTCAGGAGACCGGTCGTCCCGCCTGATCCTCTGTGTTCTGTATACCCAAGCTCACCACACAAGTTACAATCTGTTTGTACCTTTTAAAACTACCGGCAAGTATGTTGTGCAAGAACCTGCCTGATTGGATATAAATTAATTGGGAAAAATTAGGCAGGCCCTCCTAATGCATAGTTCTGGTAGATCTAAAGTTTATTGTACAGGCACATTGTGATGTGTATGGCGAGCCTTACTGATCTGGTGTCCGTTGTACCTGGGACAGTAACCCCCGGTTCACATCTGTGCGGGTGGTGCCGTTGCGGATCTGCACGAAAATCCGTGCAGCCGCACCACCCGCACAGAAAATTGCGGACCCGCGGGCGGGTGCCATTAGTTCTAATGGCACGCCGCCCGCACTGGGAAACGCAACCATACTGGGAACCGAGGTTCCCGTGTGGGCTGCGTTTTCCAAAGTAGTACAGGGACTTCTTCTCTGCGTGTCACGGGGCACAGGAGTCCATTCAAATGAATGGGCTCTCGTGCCCGAACAAAACATGGCCCGCACGGCTGCATAGATGTGAACCTAGGGTCAGTGATGGGAAATACAAAGTTTTTTACATTTTGTCACCCGTACATGAATAGGGGAGTATCCTTTCAATTGGGACACCTATTCTGATGACAAATGTCTGAGACGAGATCACCCCTTACTTCCTGTTGTCTTTTTAAGGACCGGAAGTAAAGGCACATCTACTTAATGTGACACAAGATGGCAAGAAAAAAAACTGACTGTTTTTTAATGATTCCCTACCGCCTTTCTAAAAAGAAGAAAATAAATAATAATTTTGGCATTAGATACCATTAAATAATTACCTGTCAAGTTCAGTTTTGGTAGCCAACTGTGGTTTTTCTACAACTGGCAAAAAAAATTCAAATATGGCTACAAAGATGGTGTTTGGAACGCCCTCATATATAATATAATTTCCTGCTTGTATGATTGGCTGTCTGCTGTTCCCAACATTTTTATTATATTTTTACAACACTGAGACTGATCATGTGACTATAGAAGGAAGGTACTCCCATCTGGATCTCAGAAGTGAGTGGGATCTATTTACAAGCCAATGCAGGTGGGACTCTGTGATTGGAACTCCACCACATTTCCTAAAATTCTGACTGTAACTGACCAGAGAAGGATGTTTTCCAGCAAAACAGGAGTTATGCTCTAAGTACAGACTAACTGACTTTATCTGTTGTCAGGATTTGGTTATTAAATCTCTAGTCCCTTTTTGTTGGCCTTTGACCTACTGGCTTGTGGGGTGTTTTTTTTTTTTTTTTTTGTCCTTCTTTAAGTTTTTTTTATAGATGTCCACATGAACTAAATCTCCTCCTAGGTAGTTCCGGTTTCAAAATTCACAAAAGAAGTTCGCAGAAATAAAGGTAGTGCTGAGAGAGAACTGGTTTTCCAGGGACGAATCCCTCCATTGGGCTATAGCAAATTCACAGTTGAGAAGCTCCATGCTCAGGAACGATTCTTCCGGAAGAAGGCTGAGAAAAACTCGTTAATGATTCAGAACACGGTAGGTTAGATGCAATGTCATGTGGCTGCATGGGGCAATGTTAATAAAGGTTTGGTTCTAAACTGCCTGTGCAGGTAAGGGGTGCCTGGTGATAAAAAGAACAAACTGTGCAGCTTTGACCAAAGTTGGCTAATACCCTTGCTATAGGTGTAGGCCATTTACGTACCTCATGAAGCCTGATCAAAACTTCCAGAGATGGCATCATCCTGTCCTGCTTTGTTGCTAGGGTGCTATTGCCTGCCTACAGGGGTGTATCTACCAAGAGGCAAACAAGGTGTTTGCCTTGGGTGGCATTTTACAGTGGGGTGGCGCTGCCCCCCAGGCAGAAGGGACACACATGGGGGGACCGGCTGTAGAGGAGAGCAGAGCACCGGTGTGCGCAGGGAGTGGTCGGCAGCCGCGGCTCGCTGTCAGGAAGGCTCCAGTCAGTATCTGCAGTCTGGGCCGGGCTGTGCAGGGTGGGTGAGGCCAGGAGGTGCCAGTGGAGGACATGGAAGAAGACTAGGTCAGGATGGAGGTGCCCCCTGCTTTGTTTTAGCTACCACCGGAGGTCCTGGTGGAGATGGGACACAGGCTCAGCTACCGCTCCTGGCACCATCTAGATGAGCTGCTGCTGGACAGGTAAGAGCATGGAGGACTGGTGCTCCCCCCACTCCTGTCCTGAAGGTCTGGATCTTAAACTGAAAGTAGATGGGACAAATTTTAGATTGGGGAGACGGGAGCGCCTGATTTTAGTCTTGCCTAGGGCAGCACAAAACCAAAAATACACCACTACCTGCATAGGCACCTTTCTGGTAAAGGTGAACTGTTTAACCACTTCATGTCCAGACACTTTCACCCCCTTCCAGTCCAGGCCAATTTTCAGCTTTCAGTGCTATCACACTTTGAATGACAACACTAATGAACACTGTACCCATATGAATTTATTAGCATTTTTTTTTTTTTTTAGACAGATTAAACTTTATTTTGGTATTTATTCACCACTGGGATTTTAATTTTTTTGCTATATAAATGAAAGTTCAAAAATTTTGAAAAAAATTTCTTATAAACTTTTGCTAATACATCTTGGCCAAAATGTATTCATATATCATTTTAGTAAAACTAACGATGTGAATGTACAATATATATGTAAAAGCGCTGCGTAAATTGATGGCGCTATATACGTACCTGAAATAAATAAACCCAAATTGGTTAATAAACAAATTTTTTTTATTTTTCAAAATTTGTTTTTTTTTTTTTTTTTTTTTTTAACATACTGTCACACTAGAAGTACAGTGTCAACATAGTGGGGGGTGATGAAGATTTTTTTTTCTTTTTTTTTACACAGATTGCTTTTACACTCATAAAGGCTGTAACAGCAATAATCCTTCTCTCTGGCTGCATTCTTGCAGCCATTGAGAAATGCTGTGTGAGCTGTGATTTGGTCACAGCTTGTCACATGGTATAAGGCTGTTGTGAATAGCCCTGTACCATGTGATCTCTGTGATCCTTCACAGATTTCACACGTAGTAAGCAATTATGTCAGGAAGTGACATCTTGTTTACTACTATTCATGTGATCACCGATTGGGCCACCGATCGCGGTGCCGCTTGCTCCTAGGGAGCGCGCATAGGCAATGGATGCAGAGGTATGTTCGGAAACGTCCACCTGCATTGGCAGTGCTCCCATCTGGACGTTTATCTACATGGGCCGGATGGGAAGTGGTTAAGGTGAGGTGCAATAATCCATGCCAACAGATCAGGACTCTAATTGGCCTAAATCTAGACATTTGTCTGTATTGGTTCACATTCTTTCTAAGAACGCAATGCAGATCTTATGGAACAGTTGCTGAATTTTGAGAAATCATAGCAAATTTTCTCTGTGTGCATAGTATTACTAATGCTGTGCTTTACTTTGTCATTTTCAAAAGTTTCAAATTTTTATTGTGCTTGCTCTTTTTGTATTCTAATTCTCACATGATATTCTGGGATCATAGGGGTTGAAGTTTCATCTTGGGAGTAAGGACTTGTTCACAGCATGTCCATTGAGCTGCAGTTTTCTGCACATGTGTGGTGTAAACATATTTTGTTTTCTATGTGCCCTATTCACAGCATACGTGTTCAATGGTCTGCAGAAAAATGAAGCTTTTCCGGACATGGTGTGAAGAAGCCCTAAAATAAGGTTGTGGCTGTCAGGGCTTGTTCACACTCCATTGTTTTATTATTTTTTTTTTTTTTTTTTTATTTGAGGTTCTCAAGTGGCATTCTTGTTTCTGCAGAGCAGTGTAGTGCGATTATGTGTGGTGGTTTTTTTTTTTTTTGTTTTTTTTTTTTAGCACTGCACCACACCAGCCATGCAGTGTGAATGGACCACAAATAAAACAATAGTTTTCCATGCACCCTTGCGGTAACTGGCTTTTATCCAGTGCAGAGGAATACCAATCCCTGCATGTAGTGTGAACGATTCCTCAGTCTAGAGTTGGGAAAATGATGCAGTTTAGAAGAGAATTGAGCCATCTGCCTTCACAATTACAGCCAGGGGGTAACGTTCATATTCAGTCTTACAATGCTGTTCATGTGGATGAAATGTACTTAAGTTCCAGTGTAAATAGCACTCTCTGATGATTTTCTTCAGTATTACAGAGTGGAATTTGACCCAGATACAGGGCTAATCAGCAAAATCAAGAATCTGGAGAAGCAGATTTCCCTTCCTGTAAAACAGAGTTACTACTGGTAAGAATATTTCCTGGGGTTAGTTGAAATGATTGTGTCTGGGGTAATTATTTTAGGAGTATACCTGTCTGGTTCAAAATACCTGAGGTAGGTGTGTGTGTGTGTGTGTGTGTGTGTGTGTGTGTGTGTGTGAATATGTACACAATTGTTTCAGATTAAGGACTCTCCAAACATTAGAGGAAGGATATGGTCATAAGCCAGAGGTCTCCAAACTGTTCAAACAAAGGGCCAGTATACTGTCCTTCAGACTTCAGGAGACCCGGATTAGGACCAGCAAGGATAGAAAATGTCCTGGCCCCAGCATCAGTAAGAATAAACATGGCCGCAGGGTTGGTGGTCAGTATGAGTAGTGCCCCATCATTGGTATTAGTGGGAAGAATAGTACACCATTATTGGTATTAGTGGGGAAGAATGGTGCCCAATCATTGGTATTGGTGGGAGAACTATTGCCACATCATTGGTATCAGTGGGAGGAATAGTACACCATTATTGGTATTAGTGGGAGGAATGGTGCCCAGTCATTGGTATTAGTGGGAGGAATGGTGCCCAGTCATTGGTATTGGTGGGAGAACTATTGCCACATCATTGGTATCAGTGGGAGGAATAGTACACCATTATTGGTATCAGTGGGAGGAATAGTGCCCCGTCATTGGTATCCGCGGTAGGAATAGTGGCCCGTCATTGGTATCAGTGGGACGAATAGTGGCCCGTCATTGGTATCCGCGGGAGGAATAGTGCCTTGTCGTTGGTATCCGCGGGAGGAATAGTGCCTTGTCGTTGGTATCCACGGGAGGAATAGTGCCTCGCCGTTGGTCTTGGTGGGAGGAATAGTGCCCCAAGGGCTTGATAAAGGGTAGCAAAGGGCTGCAGTTTGGAGACCCCTGTCATAAGCTATCCACCTACAAAAAAAAAGTTGGCTCTAACCTGTGTCTGGGTAATTTTGATTGTAATTGGAAAGAGGGGCCTGTTGTCTTAATTGTGGGTATTTTGGCAGATCTTGTCTTGTTCTAGACACCGGGGTTGGTACTTACAAAGCATACAGTATGTGTACAAGCTATATATCAGAAATATGCAAAATATTTAAGCATCCCTTGTAACTATTATGGGGCCATGTGGGGGCTCAGTAATAGGCTCTCCTAGCGCTGGATGTACCTCATCTCATAGATTTGAAATCACCTGACTGGACATCAGTTATTTCTCCCCAAGGATAAAAATACCGTAGAACCTCACATTTGTCTATAATACAAATTTATTTAAACAAAAACGCAATAAAATAATCACGGCTGAAACAGTAGCAATGACCTACTCCCTAAACTCAAATCTTTTATCTTCGTATAACCTCTGCCTTCTGCTGGGTCAAATGTAAAGCAGGAGAGGTCTCTGTAGTAACTAAGCGATGTTAGTGCGGCAATCTTCCCTGCTGAGTTATTGTGTTCTGACAGAGAGACTGCAAACCCCCCCACCAGAATGCTCTGATCAGCGCTCGCAGCCATTGGCTGCGAGTGCTGATCGGATGCAGGTTTTCCAGCATGTTCAATCAAAAGAAGCTGGTCGTGAGACTGGCTTATGCCGAACAAGGAGCTGTACACACGGGCCTGCTGAGCCAACCGTTTAGGCCAAATTTCAGCTTGAGTGTACCCAGCCTTAATCCTTGGCTTGGACCTACCCCTGACCTATTCTTTAGGGAGTGTGGTTGGGATACCGCAGGGAGACGCAGCTCGCTTGTGACCAGGGAGGTAGAGGGTCCCAAGAGGAAGCTGTAAATACTGAATGATGGATTATCCAGCTGTCACTCTATACATTTCAGGATGGTCAGTTTCCCCAAGAATACACATTCATTCCTATTATTGATATAATCCTATACCCACAGTTGATCCAGAGGAAGGCAAAAACAACCCAGCAAAGCATGATCCAATTTGCTCCTGCTGGGAAAAACATTCCTTCCTGATCCCCTGAGAGGCAATCGGATATTCCCTGGATCAACTTTCCCTATAAATGTTATATTCTGTGTATCTAAGAAAGAATCCAGGACTTTTTTTTATTGTTCAAGGTGCAGCCACGCCAAAGAACAGTGACCTTTGCAGGAGTTGCATGAAACCATAACAAACAATTGTTATCCGTCAATTTAAAATTATTTCAATATTTATTACTAAAAAAAAAAAAATTAAATGAGTCTCTCCAAAATGTCAGTATTAGATTAGGAATTGTAAGTGTATGCCAACTATAATTAAAGGTACAGATAGAGAAGGGTGACGTGTGCCCCTGAGAACATATGCTCGGGGTAATATTTGTGTATGCTGCAATCTTCCGTTCTGTTTTTCTAGTCCGAAGTATAATTTCCTACTCCTGATCTTGTAGGTATAATGCCAGTATAGGTAACAAAGACAGTCAGCAGACCTCAGGAGCCTATATCTTCCGACCAAACCAGTCAGAGCCAGTGCCAATATCACGGACTGTCCGGAGTTATCTGGTGAAGGTTAGAACACCTCTTCACAACCTATTTATAAGGACTGTCCTGTATGCCACTGATTTGTTACTAGATGTCCTGTCATCCTCTAAATCTACCGTCTATCACTGATAAATTTTTTATATATATATATATATATATATATATATATATATATATATATATATATATATATATATATATATATATATATATATATATATATATATATAAAAAAATTTTTTTTTTTTTTTTTAATGGCTCTCACCCTATAAGATGGCCCTATATATCTGTTTTGTATCAGCCACTGTTCTGTTATGACCTCATCTTATTACTGTCATGTTTGTATCTCTGATCTGTTATTTTATGACTTCCATCCTATAACTGTGCTGTGTATATATCACCGATCTGTTAAAGGGTGGGTCATGAAATTGCCATCCTGTATATATCAGGGATCTGATATTAAATGACCCCTCATCCAAGAACTATCCTGTGTATACTGTATCACTGATCTGGTATAGGGTGGGTCATGAATCTGCCATCCCGTATATATAAATTGCCATCCTGTATGTTATTAAATGACCCCTCATTTTAGAACTATCCTGTATATACTGTATCACTGATCTGGTATAGCCTGGGTCATCCATCCTGTTTATATCAAGGATCTCCTATTACGTGACCCCTCCTATAACTGTTCTTTGTCTATCAATAATCTATAACTGTCCTGTATCTGTCCCTGATCGATTACATGACCTACATCCTAGAACTGTCCTGTATTTATCTGTTATTACATGGCCTCTCATTCCATTATTGCCCTGTTTGCCTTGCTGATCTGATATTTCATGCCCCCTATCCTATAACTGTCCTGCATATAATATATCAATGATCTATTATTACATGACCCTTCAATCTAGAACTGACCTGAATATATAATTGGTCTATAACTGTCTTGTATCTGCCACTGATCTATTATTACATGACCCGTCATCCTATTACTGGCCTGTTTTGTATTATTGATCTATTATTACATGATAAAGTCTGTCCCAAGTTGGGAGTAACAATAAAATTTACTATGAATATGAATGAATTCCTCAATAAAAGTGACAGTCTGTGTAATTAAAATGGTGTGGCATAACAATCAAATCCAGTGGCGGTGCTCCCAATAGTGTGGTAAAAATTACGCACTCACCAGATGTGTAATTTAAGTACGCAGTGTATGAATCAGTGGAGGTCTCTTTAACAGATAAGGGTCTGGTGTGGAACACGAATAATCCTCCTTCAGGGTGGTGTTATGAGCCCTCGGAAGAGTAAGAAGATCCAGCTGGCTAGAGGTCCCTTTTTAAAGGATGGATGGGTACAGGTGCTCCCTTCTCTGGATTCGATGGATGGATGACTGGATCAAAGCGGGCTCTATAAATAGCTCCTTTCCAGTCTGCAGAGCTGTAATTTTCTGGAGAATTCAATGCAATATGGCAACCTGCCTGGCGTTTGCATGGGCACCTGTACCCATCCATCCCTTAAAGGGACCTCTGGCCAGCTGGATCTTACTCTTCTGAGGGCTCATAGCAACACCACCCCAAAGGAGGATTATTTGTGTTCCAGACCAGACCCATATCTGTTAAGGAGACCTCCACTGATTCATACACTGCGTGCTTAAATTGCGCATGTGGTGAATGCGTAATTTTTACCACACTATTGGGAGCACCGCCACTGGATTTGATTGTTATGCCACACCATTTTAATTACAGACTGTCACTTTTATTGAGGAATTTATTCATAGTAATTTTGTTACTCCCAACTTGGGACAGACTTTATCAATACTCATTTTAGCGCTGCACTTATTTATTATACGTTTATGACAGTTTTATATTGGTTACCTTGAGTGCATCAGCTGCTGACCAGAGAGCGCTCACTTTTATTACTTGATTTATATTATTATTACATGACCCCTCATCCTATTACTGGTCTGTTTGTATTATTGATCTATTATTACATGACCCCCTCATCCTATAACTGTCTTGTATCTATCTCTGATCTATTATTGACTACACCTCATTCCATAACTGTTCTTTATCACTAATCTAATATCATGATTTCCCCTCAACCTATAACTGCCGTGTACAGTATATATCACTGATTTATTACATGTCCCCTCATCACCTTTCACTGATCTGTCATTGTGTGACCCCTCATCCTCTTAACTGTTATATATATCTGATATTACAGTTGCAAGAAAGTATGTGAACCCCTTGGGATTACGTGGAGTTTTGCATGAATTGGGCATAAAACGTGCTCTGAACGTCATCTAAGTCACAACAATAGAAGAACACAGTCTGCTGAACATAATACTACACAAACATTAGATGTTGCCATGGTTTAATTGCACATAACATGTAAACATTCACAGTGCAGGGAGGAAAAAGTATGTGAGGCCCTAGCTTAATGACTTCTCCCAGAGCTAATTGGAGCCAGGAGTGAGCCAACCGTGACTCCAATCAGTGTGATGATATTGGATGTGTTGCTGACAGCTGTCCTGCCCTTAAACACACCTGTTTTTGGTTTACTGGTTTCAAGAAGCACTGTCTGATGTGAACCATGCCTCGCAGAAAAGAGCTCTCAGAAGACCTACGATCAAGAATTGTTGACTTGCATGAAGCTGGAAAGGGTTACAAAAGTATCTCCAAAAGCCTTGATGTTCATGTGTCCATGATAAGGCAGACTGTCTACAAATGGAGAAAGTTTAGCACTGTTGCTTCTCCCTAGGCGTGGTCGTCCTGTAAAAATGACTGCAAGAGCACGGCGCAGAATGCTGCATGAGGTAAAGAAGAATCCCAGAGTGTCAGCATGTGCCAGAGATTTCTGTAGGTCTTTAGCTAACATTTTTGTTGACACATCTACAATAAGGAAAATATTAAACAAGAATGGAGTACATGGGAGGACACCACGGAGGAAGCCATTGCTGTCCAAAAAGAAGATTGCAGCACGTTTGAAGTTTGCAAAAGGGCACCTGGATGTTCCACAGCACTACTGGCAAAATATACTGTGGACAGATGAAACCAGGATTGAGTTGTTTGGGAAGAACACACAACACTATGTGTGGAGAAAAAAAGGCACAGCACACCAACATCAAAACCTCATCCCCACTGTAAAACATGGCGGAGGGAGCATCATGGTTTGGGGCTGCTTTGCTGCCTCAGGGCCTGGACGGATTGTTGTCATTGATGGGGAAAATGAATTCCAGAGTTTATCAAGACATTTTGCAGGAAAACGTACGACCATCTGTCCGCCAACTGAAGCTCCGCAGAGGATGGGTGATGCAACAGGACAATGGCCCAAAGCATACAAGTAATTCAACAAAACAATGGCTGCAACAGCACAGAATACGCCTTCTGGAGTGGCTCAGTCAGAGTCCTGACCTCAACCCGATTGAAATGCTGTGGCATGACCTTAAGACAGCGATTCACACCAGACATCCCAAGAATATTGCTACACTGAAACAGTTTTGTGAAGAGGAGTGGTCCAAAATTACTCCAGATCGTTGTGCAGGTCTGATCTGCAACTACAGGAAACGTTTGGTTGAGGTTATTGCTGCCAAAGGAGGGTCAACCAGTTATTAAGTCCAAAGGTTCACATACTTTTTCCTCCCTGCACTGTGAATGTTTACATGTTATGTGCAATTAAACCATGGCAACATCTAATGTTTGTGTAGTATTATGTTCAGCAGACTGTGTTCTTCTATTGTTGTGACTTAGATGACGTTCAGAGCACATTTTATGCCCAATTCATGCAAAACTCCACGTAATCCCAAGGGGTTCACATACTTTTTCTTGCAACTGTATATGTCCTTTTTATCCTGTAACTGTCCTGTAACTTTTACTGATCGATTATCACCCTCCTTTTTAGAACTGTTCTTTATGCATCCTTGATGTGTTATCACATGGCCTCTCATTCTAAAACTGTCCTGTATCCTATAACTGTCCTCCTGTTCTTCTCATTCTCATCTTATAACTGGCCTGTATATGTTAATTTTATTATTCACAGTATCAGAAGAGATCAATGAGGTGATGTAATAGCCCTCAGCTGTCATTTGTTATAGATAAGGAAAGGATAAAGGACATCCACTGTTATGGGCAGCAATGCTCTGATTTTGTTGATCCTCATTCGTCTGTATGAAACCTTCTATGGGATTACAGTACTTTTGTTGCTCCTAGAAAATATTTTTCGCTATTCATTTAATTTTGAATGCTGCACTGGAGGAATCTGAATCTTGCCTCTCCACTCATGTTCCAATGTTCATATACAGTCTCACTCCTTCTGCAGAATTCCCTGGTGCAGGAGGTGTATCAGAACTTCTCGGCGTGGTGCTCACAGGTGGTCCGTCTGTACTCTGATCAGAGATATCTGGAGCTGGAATGGACGGTGGGACCTATTCCGATAGGGTAAGCTGTCCAATGTATTTAAAGAAAAATCTCTAGTTTTGTTCATGACACAACTTTATTATATTATAGTTCATCCAGAAGTCATTTTAATATAACGTTCATATTTATACATGTCTGGAAGTTATGGTTTCATTATTTCGTCAATAGATTGTAGATTCATTCAATAGTGATTAGTCATTCAGCAAACATGTTTACTACATGACTGCTGAGACTGAATCAATTACGGGGTAAGCCACCTGTTTGTTTTATTTAGTTGATCATTATGGGGGTAAGCTAACCTAAGAGCGAGTATTGAGAATAGAGGCGTATTAAAGCAAGACATTTTTTTTTTTTTTTTAAATTTATTTTTTTTTCATTGGATCGAGTAAGGGAGAGTTATAACCCCAGTCAGATTATTTTTTGCCATCTGTGTCCTACTAGGAAGATTTCCCTTCACTTCCTGTCACATAGCCAAAACAAGAAGTGAGAAAATCTCTGCAAATTAAGGGAATCCATAGAGGGCCCCAAGGTCACCAGAACAAGTGTCCCCATTGGAAAATTTCACCTATTATGTTTCTGGGGACAACACAAATTTTGGGTTTTTTTTACTTTCAATAACCTTAAACAGGACAAATAGAGAGTGGATCTCCCTAACCTTGGCACAGACGGCAATAAAGACCTGACAGGGGGTCTAATCCATCTCCACTCTGTTCAAAACTTAAAATATAACTAAAAAGGCAATTTTTTTTTTTTTTTAAATGCTGAAGTGTAATGTTCTCATATTTTTATTTTCTCTAGTCCCCTTGTTGTACCCTCATTAACATGTTGGGTTTTTTTTTTTTTTTTTAATCTCACTTATTTTAGACACCATGACATCATCACTGGGTCTCTCTGCTCCTCTATGCAATGCAGGCAGATCCTAGCTGGTGGGAGGGGCTGACAGGGCGATGTACATGGCTTCCTGAAAACATCAGAGTAACCTACCTCAGTACATCTCTGAAGAGTCCTCAGCCCTTGTGCAAGCAGTGGGTTGGCTCTTAGGAGGAGTTAAGCAAATATCAAAGTGCCTGATGGGTGGATCTCTGTCTAGAGGAGTGGGTCTTCCTAGGAAGACTGCATTTGCATGGGGACCGCTGTAGGTAATGCCCACATGTGATGTGATGTGATGTTGAGCCTCCATGGGTGAAAAAAATCTGAAGTCCAGTGAATGAAAGGGGTTGGCCAGAGACAGTCAGGCTGGAGGGGAAATGGCTAGATGATGCTGGATGTCCTACAGCGAGGAAATAGGGCGGCTTTATCGGACTTGCTGCAGATTCTGATGCACAGTGCCATAGGAACCCCTCAGATTACATTTTATAGTAGAGGAGATTGCTGGAGAAGTTGTACTAGATGGCTGCATATTATCACTGTTCTTTGTATCTATTCATTCAATAAACCCTATAAAGTGATTTCATTGTTCTTCATTTCAGGGATGATAAGGGGAAGGAAGTCATCAGTCGCTTTGACACAAATTTGAAGACAGACGGACTATTTTATACCGATGCAAATGGAAGGCAAATCTTACAGAGAAAGTAATTACGCTTCTTGTCTGTGTCACCCTGTGGTTGGAGGGACAGACCCCACATCACATAGCTCCTCCTGGGTGGTGTCACCCTGTGGTGGGAGGGACAGACTCCACGTCACATAGCTCCTCCTGGGTGGTGGGAGGGACAGACCCAATGTCACATAGCTCCTCCTGGGTGGTGTCACCCTGTGGTTGGAGGGACAGACCCCACATCACATAGCTAGCTCCTCCTGGGTGGTGGGAGGGACAGACTCCACATCACATAGCTCCTCCTGGGTGGTGGGAGGGACAGACTCCACATCACATAGCTCCTCCTGGGTGGTGGGAGGGACAGACTCCACATCACATAGCTCCTCCTGGGTGGTGGGAGGGACAGACTCCACATCACATAGCTCCTCCTGGGTGGTGGGAGGGACAGACTCCACATCACATAGCTCCTCCCCTCTGTATCATCCTGTGGTGGGAGGGATAAACTCTATATAATATAGCTCTTTTTTTTGGTTGGTGTCACCATATGGTGGGAGCAGAGTCACCTTAGAAATCATGGGGCCCTGTACAGTTTGACAGAACCCCCCCCCCCTCCCCCTCCCCTGCATGGTGTTACTTTCTGCATTAGTGCTTCTGGTGGGCGGCTGCTGTATGTAATCTTTGTGGAGACCGTGTGAGAGAGAGTGCAATGAACAATGTGCAGTATGTAATATTAAACAAGTGCAAGGCCATGCACAGTGCCTAGTGGCAGTGCAGAGAGGACTGTGAGCTGTATGTGCTGGCAGTGGCAGAGCAGTATGTGTAGTGGATGGGGCAGTGAGCAGTATGTGTAGTGGATGGGGCAGTGAGCAGTATGTGTAGTGTGTCATGGATGGGGCAGTGAGCAGTATGTGTAGTGGATGGGGCAGTATATGTAGTGTGTCATGGATGGGGCAGTGAGCAGTATATGCAGTGGATGGTCAATAGGAATAATGTACTGGCAGGGCAGAGGGTGGTGTGCAGTGGCAGGACCGAGAGATTCCTGAAGAGGAAAGACTTGTTGGGCTGATATCTGCCCCTCCTCACACTCACCCCATCTTCATAGTAAAGCGACCATCTGTGTGAGGCGGGAGGTTGATCCTCATACCCTCAGCCCTGTCTCCTTGCCAAGGCAAAAATTGAACTCTGTGCCCAGGAGGATTTGCACAGGGCACTGGCAGGGGGGATATATACAGGGGACTGAGGGGGATTCCCTGCACCCCAGGAAGAGGAGAGGGCTACAGGCAGCCCCTGCTGGGTCCAGGCCCCACTGCTGACCTGATGGTGACCAAGGCCAGTACGGGAGAACTGCTTGTACCTCCCTATGAGAGGCTCCAAGGCCTTCTCTTTGTATCTAATCCAAGCATTCTCCTGCACTGCACAGTTGGTAGATCTTAAAGAGATTGTACAATCAGATAATGGTGTGTGTGATCATTTTTACTCGCTCTCTGCTAGACAGTCATTCTGTCACGGAGGCTGTTTTCTGTGTCTACTTAAACCGCATAGCATTCAGTTATCTGTGATGTTTTTATTACAGGAGAAATTCCCGTGACACTTGGGTGTTGCAGCAAACTGAACCAGTGGCTGGGAACTACTACCCAGTAAACAGCCGCATCTTTATCAAGGTGAGTGGTGTGGAGGTAGCCTGAGGGCATATGTATCTGCTTCTCTGTATGGGTACAACCTGTATGGACAAAAAGGTGTAAAACTCTGACCATTGCACCTTTTTTGAGCTTGGTGGATATCTATTCTAAAATGGAGTGAACGTCGTTTGGAACAGTGTTCACATAGTTTTCACCATATATTGTATTAACTGTTGTCTGATATAACATATTTGGAGCATTTGTGCCCTTTTTTTTTTTTTTTTTTTTTTTTTTTTTTTCTGGATTTCAAGAAATTTGACGGCGCTATATAAGTACCTGAAATAAATAGAGAGAGAGATAGAGATTTTTTTTTTTTTTTTTTCTTTTTTAAAACCCACAGTGGTGTGCGAAAACAAAGCGTTTTTTTTTTTTTTTTTGTTTTTTTATGGTTGAACTGGATGGACTTTTGTCTTAGTTACATAGTTTTGTCTGGCTGAAATAAGTGTACAAAAGTGCACTTAAAGGTTTCTCTCTAATCCACCTCCCAAAGGCTCAACTTAGTCCACCTAGCCAAAAGACCTGGCGGACCCCTCTACTCCTGGTCAGCTGAAGTCAACCATTAAATACTAGGCGAGGGGCTCTCCCAAAGAGAATCCCCCTTGTTCAGGGGAGGAAGGAACCTAATGGCCACATATCCTCCCCCTAGAATTTAGGGTAGGCCCGAAAACCCACACCCTGGCCAATTTGAGGGTAAAGTACGGATGAACAAAGAACCTTACAATCCTGACTATTCTCACATTGCCAGTACGTGTGTGTGTCAGTCTCGGGTGCAGGGATGTGGGGTGCATATATGGGATAATCACTAAGTACTAGGTGGATGTGTATATCGGGTGAAGAGAAAATTGGCGTCTATATGATGGGTGTATATTTCGGGTGAATGGAGAATCGCCATGCGCTGTATAGCGGGTATGCATGTTTGATAAATGGAGAATTACCATGTGCTGTATGGTGGGTACACATTTGATAAATGGAGAATCACTATGTGCTGTATGGTGAATACATGTTTGATAAATGGAGAATTACCATGTGCTGTATGGCGGGTATGCATGGTTTTTTTTAAATGGAGAATTACCGTGTGCTGTATGGTGGGTATGCATGTTTTTTAAATGGAGAATCGCCATGTGCTCTATGGCAGGTACACGTTCGATAAATGAGGAATTACCATGTGCTGGATAGCGGGTATGCATGTTTGATAAATGGAGAATTACCATGTGCTGTAGGGTGGGTGCATAAGTCAAAGAAGGGAGAAGCACTATGTGCTGTTAAGGTCGGTATTTTTATTATATGAAGTGATGAGCACAATGTGTTGTACTGTAATAGGGTAAATGGGAAAACTTCTGCATGGTGGCTGAATGATCACAATATGTAATATAATGGGCGTGTAGCAGGTGAGAGGAGACTCTCCATATGTTGAAAGGTTCTGTCAGGTGCAAGGAGGATCACAATGTGCTATATGGTGGATGTGCATGTCTGGTGATTAGAGAATGATCATGTACTGTATGTTGGTTGAATGGAGAATTGCATGTCGGATGAAGTAAAGACCACCATGCGCTGTATGTTGCTTTTATAGTAAAATACTAAACATGAACATGCTAAGAAAATAAGTCTTGTCCTTCGTTCAGCCTAAATCTGCCAGTGTTGTGGAAAAATCGGAACATGGGTAAAGCCTTTTTTTTTTTTTTTTTTTTTTCTCTTTTTTCCCCCCAGGATAAGAATATTCAGCTGACTGTTTTGTCCGATCGATCCCAAGGAGGGTCCAGCATTGTGGATGGCTCAGTGGAGCTCATGGTGAGTGCTTATCAAAACATATACAGTATGAGCTTTAGTACATTGCTGTACCGGAGATGCTGGGCTTGGCTTGGTCATTGAAGAGATTAGTGCAGGTATCATGGCTGTAGATAGTTGAGAATGGCTGAACATGTATACCTTGATTCCCCCTCCCCCCTAAACAGAACATGATTACTCTTCTTCAGCCCAATTAATCTGCATTCTTCATTGTGAAATTAAATGTAAAAACACTTCGCTATGTAGGAATGTGAACTTGTACAGACTTTTTACCACCAGGGTTCTGATTGACACAGGGAATACCATAATATTTACCACCAGGGTTCTGATTGACACAGGGAATGCCATAATATTTGTAAGATTATGTGATTGCTTTAACTCCCCTTGGATTATCACCATCTAAAAGCCAGTGCCCTTGTGGTGTGCTTGTTGCCAGATCCACAGGCGTCTCCTGGAGGATGACTTTCGGGGGGTAGGAGAGCCGCTGGATGAGCCGGGACAGTATGAGGAGGGTCTCGTGGTCCGCGGGAAACACCTGCTGGTACTGGACACACCAGAGGCCTCTGCTGATGTTCACAGGAAACTGGCCTTGCAGCAGTACTTGTCACCACAAATTATCATTTCCATCGGTCAAGGAGCACCCTACAGAAATCATCAGACGCCAATCAACCAAGTGAGTTTAAAGTTAACTGCAATAAGTGGCTGTTAGAATGTGTTGTTTTTTTGTTTTGTAAAGTATTTTCAGGAAAAAAAAAAAAAAAAAAAAATCAACTATTGAATTTGATCATTAAAAAAATGTCATACCTGGAATTCTTATTTACAGTTACTTGGTCCAGCTTGGACCATTGTAACTCTGCCTGTAGTATACCAGTTGCAGCCCTCTAGAAACTGGAAATAACTTGAAGCATACAGTGGTCTCCATTAGCTTCCAGGTCCCATACTGAGTGGCTGCCTTGGGAATACAGGAAGTCGGCTGCTCAGCACGGGCAGCATTCAGGGATCGATTTTCTCAATTAATGCAAAGTGTTCTCTGACTGGATGAGGTGAAGAGGCGGAGCGGTGATGTCATACTCTCCATCTCATCCAATCAGAAGATAATTTGCAATGATTAAGAGTCTACATAAATAATGTGTCCAATAAAGGATAAACAAATTGCTCAGTAGTGAGCCATTGCCAGAAAGGAATATTTTAAATAAACAAATATGAAACTGTCCTTTTTATAAAGGTGTATATAGAACAGTCCCCTTTTTCTGTGATGAGTAGTGGAAAAATCTTCATTCCAATATAACCACCAATGTGAAAATTGCACCACTGTGAAATCAAATTGGAGGCTTACCAGATCCTTTGAGCCCTTAATTTATTGGGGGTCAATACATGATATATATATATATATATATATATATATATATATATATATATGAGATAGATAGATATATAATTCTGTCCAGACTCTTATGTCTTAGGTCATATCACATGTACCATCCGAGGCTCCTCCAGCCGTCCAGGTATTATGGAGTCGACATACGCTCCTAGAAAATAAAGAGGTGCCACTAATAGTGCAGTAGGTTGAAAATGAATTTATTAGATGAACGAAAATGCATTTACAAAATTGTAAAGCAACCATAGACCACCGATCAGCAGAAACAACTGTAAAATGGCGATCATTTACCATTTTATAGTTATTTCTGCTGATTGATGGTCTATGGTTGCCTTATAACTTACTATGCTTTAAGTGCATTTTCGTGGGGAGTGTGCAGGAAAAGGTGCTGGGGCTCACAGTGCATCATTTAAAATGAAGTCTGCAGAAAGTCCATTGTCTGAGTCAGACTGGATATAAAAGACAAACCATATATCAGTCATTTTGATAAAATAAGACCACCCATGGGCCCATACTGATGTTCTATCACTGCTCAGTTTTCAGCTCTGCGGGATCCACTCCCTGACAACCTCCACCTGCTCACCTTTGCTCAGCAGGAGCCCAGTAAGATCCTGTTACGCCTGGAGCACCCCTTCCAAGGACATGAAAGTGGTAATCACTCCCAGCCTGTCACTGTGAATCTCAAGGTAAGACCACGTCACTGGCTCTTCTTTCCATAGCCTTTTTTTTTTTTTTTTTTTTTTTTTTTTTTTTTTTTTTCCCTCTCCTTTTCCAACATTTTGGTTTTTTTTTTTCTTTTCCCAACCTTTTGGTGCTAAGGCAACGCAGGCCATTCTTTTAAACACAGAATGACTTATTTTAACATAAATTTACAATTCTAGGAGCTCTTCTCTTCCCTGTCACTGTCTGACTTCAAAGAAACAACGCTGGCTGCTAATCTGCCAAAGGAGAAGATGAAGCGCATGCAATGGAAAACAAAGAAAGGTGAGGGGCTGCTAAGATAGTAAATATTTATAAGGGGCCCCTGATCACAGATGCAGAATCTTTCTGTGCAGTCGCACTGGCCTGGGATTGGTCATACAGCATCTTTACAGGTCACACTGGCCTGGGATTGGTCACACAGCAATGCCAGGCCAGTGTGACCTGTAAAGATGCTGTGTGACCAATGCCAGGCCTGTGTGACCTGTAAAAATGCTGTGTGACCAATCCCAGGCCACACTGGCCTGGCATTGGTCACACAGCATCTTATTACATGAAATCAAACTGGTATTGTGGTTTAGATTTAGGAAACCTAAATTAAATGACAGAAGTAATTGCGTCTGTTTTCCTCCATAGGAACTTTAGTCTAATGCATGTACCAGGGTTTTCTTTTGGCCTGTCGGTCTCTCAACCTTTTCAAGGCAGAGGAATCTTTGACATAACTTTCCGGTCTCAGGAAACCCAGCTAACAATGAGTATATCTACAACTCATGATACATTAGTGTGATAGCCGGAGGTCAGAATGCTCCTTACACTTGTGATCATTTGGGAAGAATTACCCCCTTACAGATTGCTAAAAAGATCACTGGTGTCAGTGGGAACTTACCTGAGAGGCAAAAATTGCTCAAGGAACCCCTAGCAACCTCTGGAGGAACCCTGGCCTATCACAAGAAAGGACCAGTTGGAAGATTCAAGGAGAGGGGGGACAAGTTCCATCTACAGAGAATTTTAAATATGGCTAATAAGGGGATAAATACCTTGTATCTTGACCAGCTGCTTCTTCTGTGTAGTACAAAAGCAAATCCTGGCTATTCGGCTACATTCACATAGTCACTGGCAAGATGCAGTAGATTCTTGACAGTGGTACTATACAATGCCTGTGTATCAGCACCAGCTGTCAGATTTGTACCATGTATAAATTGATGACCTTTGCTGCAAACGGTTGCATGTAACAGCTCATCTGAGTACTTACCTGCTAATAGAACCTTCAGTTGCCCCTGGATGCAGATAGTGTGTGGATGCAGCTAATCAGCCAATTTTGTATGTGGTTTTAGCACAGAGTGGTGTTGCATCCAGAGGCGGTGTCCACACAGGAAACTGCCCACACGCATATGAATGTCGCCTTGTTTTAATAGTTGGCAATGGCGGCAGCAGGGAGAGATGAGCCGAACGTAAGATGTGTACTTCACTCATCCAGGACAAGCATCCCAGCACTTAATTTTCTGCATGCTAGATCCAGGGCCAGTGACTCACGAAGTACTAAAGCAAGGACCAGGATGATAGCCCTCTGCTCTTAGTAATTGTTTGACCTTTTTGCTTACATTCAAATGTCAAGAATCGAAGTAGCTTAGCTGTACTGACCAGAAATATTATTTTATCAAGTTGTTTTGGGTAAGGTTCTACTTTAATTTTGGTAGCATAATTATTCATGTGGAATGTATGTTCCTTGCTAAAGAACATTAGAGTGTGCTTTAAAATCGCCTCCAGCATTGCTCCTCCTTGCTGGAGGCGTGCAATTTTGCTGAAACCCAGAGCAGCAATAAATCTTTAGGTGGTCTGCAGATCGGCCTCTGAAAGAACGCAACTGAGCATGTGCAGAGCAGCGTGAGACAGTGTATTAGTAAAACATTAAAAATAAAGTGCCCATACTATTTAAAATTCACTATTGGCTATCCCTGCAAAAGGAACCAGCCTGAAGTGAGCTAGCAGGACTATTTTGTGACTAAAGTTTCACTTTAAAAGAAACTTTTACAGCAGGAATGTATTTTATAAATGCTAGTTGTTTGCCATACAGACCCAATGGTTTCAATACATAAGCATACCTGTTCCAAGTCAGTGACACAATCTGGAGTCCTGGTCACATACTGCATGCTTGTTCTGGGTCAGTGCCTTAAGTGATACTAAAGCTAATTTTTTTTTTTTATTTCTCTGTCCTCTCCCTTCCCTGTGGAACAAGGGTAGAAGAGATCAAATACTCTGAACAGTTTGCATCTATTCTTCCCTCTCTTCCTTTTCACCCAGGACTCTTTAACAGCAGCAGAAGCCATTGGCTCCTGCTGCTGTCAATCAAATGAAGATGGGGGGCACATGCTAAATCCTGCTTTGTATCTCTAGGGAGTGGCTCCATAGACACTCTGCTCTGGCATGAGCAGATACTGTGTCCCCATAGCAAATGGCTTGCTATGGGGATGCATGAAGAAGAGGAGCCAAGGCTGCCAGAGGGTGATATGAGGAGGAGGAGGATCAGGTCTGCTCTGTGCAATACCATTGCATAGAGCAGGTGATTATAACCTGTTTGTTAATTAAAATAGACTTGAGTAACACTTTAGGAAGCCAGGAAACTAGCATTTCAGTAGTAGCTCAGCACTGCCACCCTACATCTTTCGCTCAGCTAAGATATACTTTAAATCAATTTATCTTCTTTCTAGGCTCCATCCCAACCTCTGAACACAGCAGTTTGGACCTGGACCCTACAAGTGTCACTCTTAAGCCGATGGAAATCCGCACATTCCTTGCAACAGTGCAATACAAAAAAATACACAGAGTGGGATAGCCAACAACAGGGGATTTAGCCCTCTACGGCAGAAGGGGACCCCTCTGTGTGACTGCCTGAAGACAAGTGCCTTGCTGAATGTACTCTGTACCACCATCTGCCACAATGTAAAAAATAAAATTTGATCTATTTTGTTACGCCAACTTAAAAATTTCAGCCTTTTTATTTTGCAGGGTGGTAAATAAAATTGTTCAATTAAAAAAAAAAAAAGTAAGCATTCTCTGCCATGGAAGCTCTGTTCTCAGAGTCCAGTAACAGGCTGGCGTTCATAATTTTTAATTTGCCATGTTCCATACTTCAGTGTCAAAGTCATCTTCAGCAGGGTGGTGTTGTGTCATTTTCTGATACAGGATCATCTTGGGAATGCATTTCTGAGTCTGGGAGTGTGTGGGAGTAACGGCAGCCGTCTCCAAGTTCACAGGAACCCTTAGAGGAGGAAATGAAGAAAAATACATTAAAAAATGCGTAACTTTAAGGGCTCTTGAACACAGCCAGAAGGGGGCCATACACTGTACAAAAGCCTACAGGACCTGCACACAGTCTTCCCTGAACACCACATATCCTAGGTACAGATGTTCAAAGGAAGCAATTAGAGAACACAGCTGTACAACCCCAACCATAGGCAACCTACGTCTAGAGATTGGATGCCCATGTACATGCACCAGTTTACACAAGCGCATTCTATGGGTGGCTGTATGCGGTAGCTGGGGAAGATTGTTTTTTGGGGGTTTTTTCCCCCCTTTTTTTGCAGGGCTTGTATATTCTTCCGTGTTATACAGCCCTTTCCAAGAGCCCTAATGATCTATTTACTCCTATATGGTGCACTGCAATAAAACCGCTCATTTAAAAAGGATGTATTGCGAATGCTCCCTAAATGTGCTAAAAATCATACCTGACACTTTTCTAAGGCAATGTACTACCTTGTGTTGCTGTGCATTGTGGCACCCTTCAACACAGGTGATGCATTCCACAGGTGGTACTGCAATGCAAAAGTGTAAATGGATCCTAAAGGTGTTTTTTTTTTTTTTTTGTCTTTTTGCTGTATGCATCCCCAGGGGTAAAATTACCCCTTTTAAGTTTCTTGGTGGCCAATGCCTATGAAATGGTTATGAAAAATTCTACTGTTACCACAAAAGAAGTCAGAGCAAAACTGTTTTAAATCGGGACACCTGTTCAAGTCACAGCTGTCTAAAGCAATTTCTTCTCACTTCCTGTTCTTTTACTCGCTTCCTGTGAGAAACCACAAGTTCCGCTTATAAAAAAAAAAAAAAAAAAAATGCAGTTTTTGCAGGTAAAAACAAAAATGCTTTTATTAGATTTTTACTAGAAAACATTGCAACCCACAATCAGTAGGCTGTGGGTGCTATGCAGGACACCCGTCAGAATGTATCTGCTTGCCCATACGAGCACACAGATACGCTGACACGAAGAGAGAATGAGCGCAGTGCGGTGGTAGTCTTTTGTGCCTATCAGCTTGTAGTTCTCAATGAACTGTCAGGACTTGTATTTTTTCCATTCACAAAATTTTGGGAATGCATCACCCAGGAGGGTGGAGCCCCACTCACTTGGCAACCACAAGAGGAGGAGAAGATCCCCAGGTAGCTATCACTCGGGCAGTGGAGCATGAATACACTCTGGCAGTGGGAATGTTACATGATCCACCCAAAAAAAAGGGTGTAATGTTCTCAAAGGTGAACTTATCCTTTTTAAGATCTCACCAACAGGGCACAGACAAGACAAACCTGACAGGGGTTCTAACCATTTCCTACTCGATCCATAACTAAAGGTTTAGATACTTCTTTAAAGGATAAGTTCACCTTTTCAGTTCTAAAAAAAACAAACAAAAAAAAAACATTTTTACGGTGGGGGGGGGGGGGGGGAAGATACATTTATTATTTCTTACACAGGAGCCTGAAGAGCAATTGCACCAGTCATCAGTAGAACGATGGTGTCATGCAGGTCTATCTGCTTGCATGTATGAGCAAGCGGATATACTGACCGGAAGATTAAATGAACTAACAAGAGCTGTGGTAGTTCATTGAGAACTACAAGCGGACAGCTGCTAAGGCTGTAGTTTCTCATTCACAGAACACAGTAAATGAGTGATGGGGAAGAAGATCCCTTGCTAGCTGTCCAAGTGGGGGATTTGTGCTCGTTAAAGGTGAACTTATCTGTAAAGGCTTTTTTTTTTTTTTTCTTCCACTTCCATACCGGGCACTTTTACCCCCTTCCTGCCCAGGACAATTTTCAGGTTTCAGCGCTCACACGTTGAATGACAATTGTGCGGTCATACAACACTGTACCCAAACTAAAATTTTATCATTTTCTTCACACAACTAGAGTTTTGTCTTTTGGTGGTATTTAATCACAGCTGGGGTTTTTATTTTTTTGTTATAAAAGTTTGCAAATTGTTCTTCATAAATTTAGGCCAAAATGTATTCTGCTACATGTCTTTGGTGAAAATAATCCAAATTAGGATGTATTTAGTCTGAAAATTGATCAATCCTGAAGTACTGACGGAATGTCAGGACAGTACAGATATCCCCCAAATGACTCCTTTTTGCAAAGTAGGCAGTCCGACTTATTTCATAACGGGCATGGTGAGGTTTTTTTTGAAGTTGTAATATTTTTTTTTTTTTTGTCATACTGTCACCAATGCAGTAGTGTCATCATATAACTGGCATGGCGGTGATCAGGGACACTGACTGGTCATTATGAAAATATATTTTTTTTTTTTTCGTACTGTCACCAAAGTAGTACAATGTTACCAGTGTAACATTGTACTACTTTAGGCAAATGATCTAATTTTATTTATTTTTTACACACACAGAATTACTTTGCTATAAGCAAGCATTTACCTGAATGAAATCTATTCATTCAGGATTTCTTTTTTTTAACCGATTTGGCCACAGCTAATCACATGACAGCTGGGCTGTGATTGGCCCAGCTTGTACATGTGATTGCTGTAACCATTCACAGCTAGCCACACTTGTATACAATGGATGGCTTCCTATCATGAAATCTGACCTGTCTGAATTTTTTGCAAGGAAACTGTTTCAAGTCTGTATCTTCTGGAGTTATTTTCCTCTTGTTTTGGTGTCGCTTCCTCTTCTCTTCCAGATTGGCTGAAATGCAACCCCTTAAAAAATAAACAGAGCTCATATAAGAAGGAATCAATTACTTGAATAAGAAACTAATAACAGAACAGTCTGTAGGAAGAGAGCCGTGGCCACCAATCAGAAACCAGCTCACATGTTAATGAACGTTACTGATCACTGCTCTGTATTCACAAAAGTGAAATTTCAAGCATAGGAAGAACATTTTGTAAATGGTTGGTACTATTCAGGAAACCAGAAAATGAAAGGGTTACTCAGTTTATCAAATTTTAGTTATATAAAATTCCCAAGATCCTTTTTTAAGCAGTGCATTCACAAGGACTCTGGGTGGCAGGCACTTACTGTCGGTCTAATATCTTTTTGCCAAGAACATCATTTCCACACATACAACACCTCTTTTAGATTGCAGAAAATAATTTTGGCCCGGTTGATCACAGATGTTCATTACTTCAGGGAGATTCTAATGAGCGGAATTGAAAATCCCCGGTAAACAGATTGACAAAGGTGACATCTAATGTATAGGTGGATATCAGATCTCTGCAAACACGCCACAATCTGTATTTTACAGCCCATTAAAAAAAACAAAAAAACTCAGCTTCAGTGTGTCAAAGTTTTCTGTATTTTTCTGTACCTCTCACCTCCAATGTAACACATATGCATCTATGAGCAGTAACATTTTCTGTGTCGAGAGTGCACTCACTGCATAGTGACTGAGCTATCAAAGACAGCTCTCAGTCCGTACTAATGATCAGGAACCAGCTCCTGTTCATGTGACTACTGACAGCCAATCACAATCATCTAATCCTTCCCACCACCCCCTGTGTACAGACCCTATTAAAAGAGCCACCTGGGCAGAAAGGGGTTAAAGCAGCAATTAAAGTAAAGGTTAATCTCATGACAGGTCATGTTATTTTTTTTTTTTTTTCTTTTAAACAATTTGCCGCTGTGCATTTAAAAGGCACTGTTTGTGCTTTCAACCAAGTGTATTAAAATAGGTCAGCCTAAAAAGCTAAATTTAATTCTAGGTTGGCATGGCTTCATACTACAATAATAAATATTTTACAACAGCAAACTCTTCTTTTTTTTTTTTTTATTCCCTTATCTTAGAAATCCCCGTCAGTCAATAGACAGGTCCTATTTAAAACAGTTTGGCATAACCAAATCAAATTATACTGCTAAAAAAAAAAAAAAAAAAGTACATCATTCATTATCTGAATTCTGGAAAAAAAAAAGTTCCTGAGCTTCTCCATGGGACCTAAACCTATGCAGCCTAGATTTCAGGTAGACATTGGCTGTTGGACTTGCAGTAAGGTAAAGGCCTCGTTCTCGGGAGTGCCTAAGCATACAGTCATGTGAGGACCATATCTGCCCACACAGGAATGGATAGGCGTTATGTGCATCCTCCCGTGCAGGCAGTCCCATTCATGTCAGTTGGGATGCAGCAGCTGCATGGACACAGCCACTGCTCCCAATTCGACAGCCATGCCGATGTGTGGCCAAGAATGCACCCAGGGTGCAATTTGGAGCCGTGCATTTGCAAGGCTGTCAGACTGGGAGCAGCAGTTGTATCCATGCAGCTGCTGCATCCCAAACAACACGAATGGGACTGCCTGCACGGGAATGAATGGAAAACATATCCATCCCCACGTGGGCAGACATGGTCCTCACACGGGTGTATGCTTAAGTATACCCATGTGAACGAGGCCTTACTTTGCCTGGCACACCTGCAATAAGGGTATGTCTACCTGAGATCTAGGCTGCATAGGTTTAGGTCACAGAGAAGCTCAGAATTTTTTTTCAGAATATGAAAGGCATATTTTTGCTTTTCTTTTTTATCAGTATAATTGGATTTGGTAATGCTGACCTGTGCTCTGATCCAAGTGAACTGTCCCTTTTGAAGAGGTTTTACATGGGACTGTCTGAACAGGGATTCATAGAATGCCTATGTATCCCCATGCAGGCAAACAAGGCCCTTGCCTTGAGGCCACAACAAGGAACCAGAGCTTATATTATACACTAGATTGCCAAAAGTATTGGTTGGTCGGTCGGGTCGGTCGGCCTTTACACACACATGAACTTTAATGGCCCCCCAGTCTTAGTCCGTAGGGTTCAATATTGAGTTGGCCCCGCCCTTTGCAGCTATAACAGCTTCAACTCTTCTGGGAAGGCCGTCCACAAGGTTTAGGAGGGTGTCTATGGGAAGGTTGGACCATTCTTCCAGAAGCACATTTGTGAGGTCAGGCACTGATGTCGGGGGAGGAGGCCTGGCTCACAGTCTCCGCTCTAATTCATCCCAAAGGTGTTCTGTCGGGTTGAGGTCAGGCCATGGAGGTGACTGGAACACCTGAATCCAATGATTTGGAGGGGTGTCCCAATACTTTTGGCAATATAGTTTATATAAGCAAAATAGTTTATTCTGTATACATATCAATGCATACTATACACAGAACATGGGTTATTAAAAGGCTGACAAGCTTCCCACTTTCACACACAGACTTAGAAAGCACCAAGACTACAGTTTCTCTTTCAACCTGTCATCCAATGTCATGTGATGTCTTATTACCCGGCTTTAGCGCGCGCTTTTGGGCCCCAATTAGCCTCAGGGTTTTCCTGGAACCTCTTTAAGCCCATTTTTCGAGACTTTGGATTGGCATCTTCCCGCACCCCAAAATTGGCCTGGATGCTGTAAAAATCAGTTAGTACACAATTACACGCAACTCATCTCAAAGTTTCCAGTGAACATTGTTAAACAGATGTACAGTACATAAATGATATATTACTGACCTTGGCTCTGTGCTTAGGATGTGATGTGCTGGACTTGTCTCAGACAACCTTTCCCTTTTTACAGGATTCTGCTTCTCCTGTAAACAGACCACAGCCAGAAAATGTTTGGGTCAATTTTTATCAAAAAAAAAAAAAAAAAAGGTTAGGACTATAATGATCTGCCCCCAGCCTGTGATTGGACAACGAAGGAACAGCAGCACAGAGATGGGGTCCTCCCCCTTCTGTAAGCATGTTGACACTAAGCAATATTGTGTGAAGCAACAGGGCCCCCTAGTGGCTAATTGCTGTGCTCCTACTCCCCATCTGGGATTTGACTGACAGCAGCAGAAGCCAATGGCTCCCAATGCTGCCTGAGTCTCCTGCGAGAAATGAAAGTGGAGAAGAGCTGCGGTAGACAGGCACAGCACTGGATCTCAGGTAAGTATTTAAGAGGAGGTTAGAGAGAGCAACTTCTGAAAGGTTTTTATTTACCATAATACAGAGAATGTATCAAAGTGATATTAAGGTAAAGAAAATTTGAAGAAGCAGGATGGACTATTTATCTTGAACGAACAAATTCTAACAGCATTTGTGGTCTTCCTTCTGAAAATTAAATCCATTCCAAACGTTGAATGTTAAAAGCAAACAAAATTTTGAATAACATTTCTTAGGTCATCGAATGTACTGAGAAATTTCATACAAATGTTCATTCAAAAATCTACTAGCATATGGCCAGTTTGATACAAACATAAATAACAGACTAGGACTCACCCAGCACCTCATTATATCCCAGATGACAGAAGGCGACGCATCAGTTTTGATGGCGTTCTGACAAGCATGTGACAAGGAGACCTTGTACCCAGCATGCAACAGGGCAGACCTGGAAGAGAGACAGTTCACCATATAATACAGTCTTATGCAGATATGCCAGTTAAGGACTATGGTGGGAAGCATAGTGGCTAAATGGTTAGCACTTCTGCCTGGCAGTACTAGGGTCGTTGGTTCAAATCCCAACTACGGCACCACCTGCCTGGAGTTTGCATGTTCTCCCTGTGCCTGCGTGGGTTTCCTCCAGGTACTCCAGTTTCTTCCCACACTCCAAAGACATGCTGGTAGGTTAATTGGCTCCTGTCTAAATTGTCCCTAGTATGTGTATGTATGAATGTGAGTTAGGGACCTTAGATTGTACACCCCTTGAGGGTTAGGGACTGATGTGAACGTACAAAAAAAAATATATATATATATTATATATAAAGCGCTGCGTAAATAGACGGCTCTATATAAGTATATGTAATAAATAATAATATTAGGTTTTAAAAACCTGCAATTTTCATGGCGGTCATGCTTGCTACACCAATCAGAAAAGTTGCTGATCCAGAATAATTATACGAGTTCAGTGTACAGACAGTGGAATGGCTGCATGCTTGGCAGTAACTAAGCAGTGAAGGATGGGATGGCATCCCCAGAGCAAGTCCCTTATCCTGACTCCCAAATGCTCACACTGGTTGTATTTAAAGTGATCTTTTTATTTATTTCAGGTACTTATATAGCGCTGTCAATTTACGCAGTGCTTTTACACATATATATATTGAACATTCACATCAGTCCCTAACCCTCAAGGGGTGTACAATCTAAGGTCCCTAACTCACATTCATACATACTCATACTAGGGACAATTTAGACAGGAGCCAATTCACCTACCAGCATGTCTTTGGAGTGTAGGAGGAAACCGGAGCACCCGGAGGAAACCCACGCAAGCACAGGGAGAACATGCAAACTCCATGCAGGAGGTGCCATGGTCGGGAATTGAACCCATGACCCATTTACTGCAAGGCAGACATGCTAACCACTAAGCCACTGTGCCGCCCATACTTTTTGATTGATTTGTCCAAACAGATTTGACTTAACCATTTCAGCTCTCCCATTGTATATCTTCTATGGACCGAAGCAATTTTTACAATTCTGCAATTGGCCAGTTTATTCAACAAAACACTTTAAAAAATGTTTTACTTTTTTGACTATAGATTTTTGTAACACCTATTTGTACTTTGATTAGTGTTGGATTTATTGAAAAAATAGTGTTACAGTAGATTCAATGAATCAATTTTATTCTATAAATGGTTTTTAAAATCACACTAAAATTGATTGTTTTGTTTTTTTTAAGTTTGCCCCTTTTGTTTTTAATGCTACACTGAAAAAAATGAACAAAAATAAAAGTTAGAAATATTGAATGAAACAAAAAAATAGAAAACAAACAATAAAAAGGAAAATATTAGTTAACCCCTTCACGCCAGCTGCATGCAAATGTGCGGTCTCCTGGCATCTGGGCCTAGACGCCGAGCGGCCGCACATTTGCGTTCAATATACATGTGCGCTGAGAGCGTGCGCCCTGCGCGCTCCCAGCACACATGTACAGTACACATCGAAAGGTCCCGGTCTCCTCTTGCGATCGGGACCTTTCCCGATCATGTGACCACCGTGACGTCGTGTCACGGCGGTCACCTGACACTAAGCTCCGCCCACCTCCCGGCGCAGAAACCCCTCTTCACGCCGGGACGATCCGGTGTGAACTGGTTAAGGGAAGAAGGGAAAGAGGAGTTAACCGTTTCAATACCGTGTGATTTTACACCTTCCTGCCCAGGCCATTTTTCAGGTTTCAGCGCTCTCACACTTTGAATGACAATTGCGCGGTCATACAACACTGTACCCAAACTAAAATTGTATCATTTTTTCTTCACACAACTAGAGCTTTCTTTTGGTGGTATTTAATCACCGCTGGGGTTTTTATTTTTTGCTAAATTAACAAAAAAAGCACATTTTCTTTGTTTCTGTTATAAAAGTTTACAAATAAATAATTGTTCTTCATAAATTTAGGCCGAGATGTATTCTGCTACATGTCTTTGGTGAAAATAACCCAAATTAGGATGTATTTTTTAGTTTGTAGGAAAGTTATAGAGTTCACAAACTATGGTATAGATCTGAATATTGATCAATCCTGAAGTACTGACGGCCAATCTAATTTCTTGAGGTCCAAGAATGTCAGAATAGTACAGATATCCCCAAATGACCCCTTTTTGCAGAGTAGACAGTCTGACGTACTTCATAAGAGGCATGGCGAGTTTTTTGAAGTTGTATTTTTTTGTCATAATTTTTCGGAAAATTAAAAAATTAAAAAAATTATTTTCACTATTTTTTTTTTTTTACATACTGTCACCAGTGCAGTACAGCGTCATCATATAACTGGCATGGTGGTGAACATGGACACTGACTGATGACAGTATGAAAAAAAAAAAAAAAAAATTATATATATATATATATATATATATATATATATATATATATATATATATATATATAATTTTTTTTTTTTTTTTTTATATTTAATTTTTTATTACTTTTTTTAAAGATTTTTTTTTCATATTTTACTATGACCAAAGTAGTACAATGTTACCATAGTAACATTGGACTACTTTGGGGGAGTGATCAGTATTTTTTTTTTTTTTTTTTTTTATACACAGTTTGCTTATAGCAAAGAATTACTTTGCTATAAGCAAGCATTTAGCTGAATGAAATCGATTCATTCAGCTTTTTTTTTTTTTTTTTTTTTGTGCTTAGCTGTGATTTGGTCACAGCTAATCACATGACATGTGCATGTGACCTGCTGTGACCATTCACAGCTAGGCACTAGTATACAATGGATGGCATCATGAATGAAGCCATCCATTGTATACAACTATCATGTGACCTGCTGTGATTGGTCACAGCAGGTCACATGGTACCAGCTACGGGAGCCGGTACTCGGATCTGTCATCGGTCGTGTCCGAGGTGCACGGCCCGTGACAGATCCCGCTGCTGCGCCGCTCTGCTGTGCCGCAAACTGCGCATGTGCGGGAGCACGCCAAATGGCGTGCACCCGGAATACAGGAGCGCATTTCAAGCCGCCAAACGGCCATTGGCCGGGCGGCTAATGGTTAAATAGGACCGATTACAGTAAACTATAGGTTAAAAAGGAACAAATTTTTTTTTTTTTTTTTTACTTGACAGGTTGCCTTAACTGAGATCGTCGGCAGACATTAACAGCGTTCATTTGTATCTCTATCTCACGTATGCACAATTTCCAGCACATTTGGTCATTGATTCAAAAAACCAGCCTAAACATGACACGCATTTTTGCACTTCAAAAATGTAAATTGGCCCTAAAGCTTTTGCTATGGGATTGCTTGCTTTCCCTGCCTGTTTCCTATACAGCTAAGCATCTTCCAGAGGATCATGGCTGCTTTATATCATATCAATGTGTAAGTTGGATCCTGACCTGAATGGTAGCAGTCCGGGGGTGTTGCAGCGGATTGTGCTGCTCAGATTGTCCAATGTGTAATATAGCGGGGTATCCAACTCCTGTAATGTGGAAACAATTAAAACCAATATTTTATCTACTGTGAGGTCAGATACATTTTGCACGTGTTGAACAGCAAATTTGTCACTTAAAGTAGTGAAATTGCAATTTTGACAGGCAGAAAGTAACAGCTAAACACTTCTTAAGTCAAAGTTTTGCCATTCCCTCCCAGGGGCAGACTGACAACTTATGGGCCCCCGGGCAATAGGGGATCATGGGGCCCCTGTGTTCTCGCGCCCACACCCAAAAAAGCCTATGAAAAGCCAATAAAAAGGTACCAGGGGCATCTCATGGGGCCCCCTACTGACCCTGGGCCCTCGGGCACTGCCCGAGTGCTCAAATGGTCAGTCCGCCCCTGGTCCCTCCTGCCGCCTACACATTCCTATTAGCCAGTCATTATGATGGACCACCTTACTTTCCAACAGAAATGTGTGGGAGGGAGGAGAACCCTGATACCAAGAAAAAAGTACAGAAGCTTTGCCCTGTCAGGATGACTGGGCATTTTGGCAGTATGGGGACACTAAAAGGCATAGTCCACCCTTGAAAAAAAAAATGTAATAATAAATGCACCAACAATGATAAAATAAAAAAGTGTGCATTTAATGGCATTCGGCACTCAGGCCTGCAGAACATTGCAGCTGTGATCAGTAATTTGCACACACTCCTGCAAACTCTTTCTCCAGGCTCAGGTCCATGTGGAGGCTGGAGAAAGTGCCTGTGAACTACAGCATGGATGGAGAATACAATTGCTAGCATTTTCTCAACAAGTCCCACTAGCCATGGTGGCAGGTGGGACCTGAAGCCATCATTTGTAAACAATTCCTGGGCAGGATGATGCAGCTGTGCCGGCGGAGCTATAAAATGACAGGATTCCCCTGGACAAAACAATCACCCCATGATTTCCTTGAGTGGCGGTGTTGGTTTGGAAGAGTATGTGACCATGTTTCATGTTACACCCCAAATACGGTATATTCACCTGCATACCTTTCAGCAGCTTCCTTTTTCCTCAAAACTGAGAATCTTTTTAAAGCAAATGTAAAAGTAATCTGTAAAGTTTGAGATGAAGTACCTGTGACCATCTTGAGTGCTGACAGTGTAGTGCTGGAGGGGATTGTTTGACAGGCAAGTCTGCCATAATGTGCTATTGTGCAGCACATAGTCAGGGCTGTGGATAAGGGGGTACCATCAGTCCAACTGTACGGGGCCCAGGCCAGCAGGAGGGCAAAGACAGCTGGGTAAATTTGATGTGGACAAGGAGGATGATCGACACGGTGGGGGGGGTGGGGGCAATTACTGGAACCGATCCTTTTTATGGGTCTTTCTGCAACAGCTGAAATCCGGCTTCTTCTCCTCTCCCTCCCACTGGCTTTCAGCTGCTGCAGAGAAAACCATACAGGGGATCGGTTCCAGTAATTACCCTCTGCCGCACCCATCACCCTCCCTGTGAACCATATGTTTCCCCCTGCTGCCCAGGCCCCTGTGTGCCCCCAGCCCTGCAGTGCTGCTGGCTTCTCTCCTCTCTTTCCCACTGGCAGTTGCAATCACACAATATGAACATTCAGGATGGAGAGTATGGGACGGGTCCAGTAAATATGTCACATTTACCATCCACTTCCTTCCCTGAATGAATGCACTGAGTGATTGGTACCAATCACTCACTGTATTCATAACTGAAGTACAGTAAACTGTTTTTTTTTTGGGGGGGGGGGGGCCCTGTCAGGTTGGTTGTATGGGGCCACGTGGTTTCTAACAGCAGACCTGCATGTAGTAGCACATTATGACTAACAGCTCCTAGGGGCTCATTTGTAAAAATAAAATGACAGAGTTTAATTCCACTTTATTGATCCCTTGCAAGCTGAAAGCGGATGACTGACTGACCGGACCAATGCACACTGAAGATTTGGGAGACCGAATTAAGGTAGTTGGCTGGGCAACTGTCAGTCTTAATGTTAGCTTCAACCTAAACTGAAGAGTCAGACACAGACGAAAAAAAAAAAAAAAGCCTAAACAACCAGGTGAATACAAATCTGTGATAGGTAACCAATGTTTGAAGAAGAAAGAGAAGAAAAGGAAAGAAAGGAAAGGAAAGAAAGGAAAGGGAAGAAAGGAAAGGGAAGAAAGGAAAGGGAAGAAAGGAAAGGGAAGAAAGGAAAGGGAAGAAAGGAAAGGGAAGAAAGGAAAGGGAAGAAAGGGAAGAAAGGAAAGGGAAGAAAGGAAAGGGAAGAAAGGAAAGGGAAGAAA